AAAATGGGGCCGTTGAGATAATTTCTGAGTTTTTCTTTCTTTTTCCACGACGTCCCAGCTTCCTTTGACTCTGGATTGTCAAGATTCATTTTTCGTTAGGATCGAAAAAGCGCTTGAATCATCGTGTCGACGCCAGTTTGTGTTGTCTGTGTTTCCAGCAGAGTCCTTTTTTTATGTGTACCTCTTTCATGAATAGTTTCAGCCCTCGGGAATGAATTCGTCCAGATGTGCTGTTGTGATAGTAAGGGAAATGATGGAAGCAGTACTTCTTGATTTTGTGAAATTGTTGCGGGAACGGGAGCACCGCTGTTTCGAGTCGAAGTTGCCGGAAGATTTATTGCTTACGTATTGATTGGTGCGTGGATAAATTCTCGTGCACGATTGTATTTATATACATTCTCGTCCCGTCTTCCGCTGGGGATGAGTAAGTGATGGAGCTTCTTTTGTTTTGTTTGTGGACTGCTCGAGTCGTCATTTTCGTGTGTGTGTGTCTCTCTCTCTGACGCCGGTGAGGGAAATTCAGCTCGAATGATATTCATTATTTTCATCGTGCGAAAATTTGGCGAATTACGTCTCTCTTTTTTTTGACGCAGTGAAATGACCGATATTTATTTCCTGATCATTATTTCTTTGTCTGAGGAGTCGTTGCAGCGCTAACGACTCAGGTTTTGGTGTCCGTTTGCGTTTGGGGGAAAGGAAATTTGTTCTATGATTGAGACTGACAAAATTGAGGATGTTGAATGTTTCAGTCGCTGAAGATGTTCTCTTTTCATTCTGACGCTCTCCTAAGCTGAAATATTGTCCTGATGCTAACGACGAATTCTCATTGAAGACGGCCTACGTGTTGTGCTACAATGGCGAAACCTCGTAAGGATAAAGAGGCAAAAGGTGTCCGATATGCGCGTGATAATCTGGAAGAGTCTGAGAGTAGTTGTCCAGATACGTCACGCGAAAGTGACCAGAGATCGGAAGAGAAAGATGGTGAAGTTGGGGATCGTAGTTCGACTAAGACTGGGTGAGGTGAAATTTAAAATTATTGTGTGTCGTTCTGTACTTCTGTTCTTTCTTGAATCTTTTATTTATTTTTTATTTCAACAGAGAGATTTGCTTTCGGATTTCGAACGAAGCGTCAGACCTGGAAAATTATCGGGCCTCTGTTTCACGATATTCGAGAAGTGGACTTGAAAACAAGGCTACAAACAAGCGGAAATCGGGGAAAATTCGAAATCGAATCAAGATGCTTGCAATTTACGTGTTGTCCCTGATCCTTCATGATGTCCAACTTCCAAGCTCCTACATCATGGAGGAACCGAATCCAAAGCCAATGGGCAGAAACGCACACGCAACTTTAGTATTGAATTCGCTGCAAGAGAGATTTCCTCAGCAACACTCCGCAACCTGGAGTGTCATGAACAGAACGCTGTGGAGTTATTTACTAAAGGACAGTGATGCCAACGCTCGGAAATTACCGTGGCCCATTTTGTTGGTTGGAGAGAACGGCGCGGTGGCCCAATGTCTAGGTGAAGAATTCGCCCGGGCCTTGAGTGAAGTGAGTGTTCTGATTTTTGCAATTTTTGTGCTAGATGTTAAGCTTACGCGCAATTGCAAAATGTTTGCTCCATAAGTTACCGAAGAAGTCGAGGTTGCAATTGGATAAAATCATTGGCCATTGTACAGAGGCTTGTTTTTGATCTTGTGATTATCCCTAAAAAAGTTCTCATACATTTTGACACTTTCTGGTAGAAAAAAAAAGTTTCAAGGTGTTTCACTGAGGTAATTTTTTGGGATATGTGTGGTCCTTCGGTGAATGGTTTGTGTTTAAATTTCAATAAATACCAGAAAAAGAAATTCTTCAATAAATACCAAAGGCTGAAAAGAAATCCGATCCAAGATGAAACACAAATAAACCTGTTTGCCTCAGATGAGCGTCTCAGCGTGTATCCGAAAAAAAACAACACGATAACTTTGTGAAAAACAAAAAGCAGCATAATTCGAAGTCACTGAAAGAAAGCTTGTTCAATTCTTTGAAAATCCATATCCTGGATATCTAGATTGAAAAATTAAAACCGATAAATATATTCTGTCTTAGTGAAATAACTTCCAGGGATCAAGCGAAAAAGAGACCATCTATTCCTAATTCTTGCTCTAAGGTGGACAACACCTTATTTAATTTCAATCAACAGTCTATATTCAATATCAGTGGATATGTTCATGACTTTTTGCGAAACCAGACGACCTTCTAATGCTTTGGGTGGTTCAGTATTATGCTGTACTCGTGCTTGTTGATTGACTGCAGGTGGATTCCGTGAATTTTGGCCAAAACAACGTTTTGGACTTTGGCAAAGGGGATGAGGAAGCCTACGAGAGAATTCGTCAGCAAATGGTTCCCCGTAATTTCAGCAAAGAGGCGTCAATCGTGTTGGTGAAAAATGTGGATTCAGCGCGACATCCCAAGCTCACTAATGTGATCATGGCCCTGTCGGACACGACAGAGAACCCGTCGGATTTCCGCGACACGGTGGCGTTTTTCACGTCATCCCTGAACGTGGCCAGCACGGGCAGCAAGCGGGATTTGCATTTGGCGCAAATTATTGAAACTCTCCCGCAGCGTTGGGATAATCAGAGGCGGGAGAATCAGGCCTGGGAAAGGTATGCCAAGGAGGAAGCGAGAAGGGCACTTGAAAATGCCTGGGATTCGGCTGGAATGAAGGCTGACGAGCGACTGCCAAGGGAGAAGATTGGTCCAATCCTGTCCAGGATCGACCAACGCGTTGTCTTTGTGCTTGACGAAGGCAGGAATTTTGCGCGTTCTTGCTGATGAGCTTTTGCCCCATTTTCTTTGTGATGGCCTCCGTGCAGAACTCAATGCTCAATTTACTTCGCCAATTTGTAGACGTCGACTGAACTTCATCAAATATCTAGATTATATTCAGTATTTTGTTGTCCTGGCTAGGTTATTAGTTCAGNGGGCCTTGAGTGAAGTGAGTGTTCTGATTTTTGCAATTTTTGTGCTAGATGTTAAGCTTACGCGCAATTGCAAAATGTTTGCTCCATAAGTTACCGAAGAAGTCGAGGTTGCAATTGGATAAAATCAATGGCCATTGTACAGAGGCTTGTTTTTGATCTTGTGATAATCCCTAAAAAAGTTCTCATACATTTTGACACTTTCTGGTAGAAAAAAAAAGTTTCAAGGTGTTTCACTGAATTAATTTTTTGGGATATGTGTGGTCCATTGGTGAATGGTTTGTGTTTAAATTTCAATAAAAAAAAAGAAAAGAAATTCTTCAATAAATACCAAAGGCTGAAAAGAAATCCGATCCAAGATGAAACACAAATAAACCTGTTTGCCACGGATGAGCGTCTCAGCGTGTATCCGAAAAAAAACAACACGATAACTTTGTGAAAAACAAAAGGCAGCATAATTCCAAGTCACGGAAAGAAAGCTTGTTCAATTCTTTAAAAATCCATATCCTGGATATCTTGTTTGAAAAATTAAAACCGATAAATATATTCTGTCTTAGTGAAATAACTTCCAGGGATCAAGCAAAAGAAAGACCATCTATTCTTAATTCTTGCTCTAAGGTGGATAACATCTTATTTAATTTCAATCAACAGTCTATATTTAATATCAGTGGATATGTTCATGACTTTTTGCGAAACCAGACGACCTTCTAATGCTTTGGGTGGTTCAGTATTATGCTGTACTCGTGCTTGTTGATTGACTGCAGGTGGATTCCGTGAATTTTGGCCAAAACAACGTTTTGGACTTCGGCAAAGGGGATGAGGAAGCCTACGAGAGAATTCGTCAGCAAATGGTTCCCCGTAATTTCAGCAAAGAGGCGTCAATCGTGTTGGTGAAAAATGTGGATTCAGCGCGACATCCCAAGCTCACTAATGTGATCATGGCCCTGTCGGACACGACAGAGAACCCGTCGGATTTCCGCGACACGGTGGCGTTTTTCACGTCATCCCTGAACGTGGCCAGCACGGGCAGCAAGCGGGATTTGCATTTGGCGCAAATTATTGAAACTCTCCCGCAGCGTTGGGATAATCAGAGGCGGGAGAATCAGGCCTGGGAAAGGTATGCCAAGGAGGAAGCGAGAAGGGCACTTGAAAATGCCTGGGATTCGGCTGGAATGAAGGCTGACGAGCGACTGCCAAGGGAGAAGATTGGTCCAATCCTGTCCAGGATCGACCAACGCGTTGTCTTTGTGCTTGACGAAGGCAGGAATTTTGCGCGTTCTTGCTGATGAGCTTTTGCCCCATTTTCTTTGTGATGGCCTCCGTGCAGAACTCAATGCTCAATTTACTTCGCCAATTTGTAGACGTCGACTGAACTTCATCAAATATCTAGATTATATTCAGTATTTTGTTGTCCTGGCTAGGTTATTAGTTCAGGCGACATCTGTCTGACATACTGTAAAGCAGTGCGAGGCGTTCTTGTGGAAAGATCTCCTGGTTTATTTGCCTCTCGTTAATGTGATGAAAAACTGTCTATATTCTTGTTTTGCTCCTGACGTATGAAACTGTGATGAAGGATACATCTGCCCCACTCGCATTTTTTGGTGATGGATGTTTGATCGAGGCCGATCCAGGATTCTTGTGATACTTCGAAGTACGTTCTCAAAAAAAGTTTAGCAATAACCTCAGGTGTTCAAGTAGGATGAAAGTAGGAAAATTCAACCGTGCCATTTAGAATATTCTACTATGTTATGTATTACTTATGCTAATGCCTGATTTTGAAAGTGCAAAGAATGAATTCGTCGTTCTTACAAACTGCAAGTTGACAATGTTGGTGAGATGGTTGCATAAGAAAGCTAAAATTCTTCATCATTTTTCGGGGGCATTTTATCAGTTATTTGCGGGTTTAAAAATTGGAAAGTGTGTTGATTTTTGTTGAAGATCAAGTCTTTGCTCTGTAATAAAAATAAATAAAATACGGGTCTTTATATTCTTCTGGAAATTTTCGCTAATTTTAATTTTAATAATCGAGCATCGCTTGGTTTTTATGAAATTTCTTTTTTGTATATTTTAGCGATTGAGTGCCCGAGGTAGCCTAGGGATGTGTTTTTAAATGAAACTCTGGTTCAAAGTGGGGTTTTTTTTTGGTTTTCATTCTGGATTTTTCGCAGACAAAAATAATCTGCTTTTGAAATCGCAGCCTGGGCGTGCTGATTTTATTTTTCGTTAAACTCTCTTCATTGAAGTTTTTTTTTTTCTGCGAAGCGCTTCATCGATGATCATTTCACCGGAATCATTTTTGAGTTGTCTGAAGATGACCTTGCCTAACTGGCGACTGAGTTGAGCGCGTTTTCTCCTGAGCAGGACTGTTGAATTTTTTTTTCTTTTGCGAATTGCTTCGTCCAACGGCTCTCGGAAAATAAGATGGTAAGTTTTTTTTTCTGAAGTGTCCCAAAAAAGTCATATATCCATCTGATTAATGCTGATTTTCAGGACTACGGACTGGTGTATCTACAAGAAAATGCCCACGACGACAACATTTGGACGTGCTCATGGGGCGGACCTCCCGATCCGGCTGATCCACCTCAAGAGTGAGCTGACTTTTTCTTTCGAAGCGAAAGATTTCTCGAGATATATCGTCGAATTGTAAACCTATTCAACGGAATTTCGTTGATTTATTCTTCAAGAATTTTTTTTCATCCGTAAGAAAGGGATACCGGTATTTTACTTTCAAGCATGGACTCCGCAATTCATCTTGGAAAGTCTACGAATCTGAAAATGTATAATCTAATCATTCCGACATGATTTGGTCTTTTGAAGCGAGCCAATACCAGTGCCGAACGAGAGCAGTCGAGTGGGCGAGAGTTCGACGGAGGCGGGAGACGGCGAAAATCCCGTCGATCAGAGTGGTGGTGGCACAGGTGACGCGGACGTGCCACCGGCGCCCACCTGCAGCTTCGTAGTGACCGGATCTCTCGACGACAAGGTCAAGATTTGGGATTGGGAAGAAGAGCAATTGAAGCTGCGACACATGTTTGAAGGACACTATTTGGGCATTGTGTCTGTCGACGTGGCGCCGAACCGGAAATGTGGGTCAAGTTTTGGAAATGACGCGTCGATTATTGTAAGAGTCTTTATCATTAAAAAAAAAAGGTCTCATGCAGTACTTATTGCTGTTTACGTGGAATCTTCTTGTACTCGTAGACTCTTTCTACTGTATAATGAAATTTATGCAGCGAAAATCGTTTTCGAGAGAGTCCAAATTCAGTTTTTAAATGAAACCCATGCAATAGTTGGTGAGACATTTTCAAAGGCTTAAAAAAAGTTTACCAATAATTTATTGGGGCAGGACATTTACAAATTACTTAGATTCTTCATTTTCTGCGAATTTGATGTGAAATGCGACTGCCTGTGACATCTATGCAGATCAAAACACTTCGCGATTGTGATGGAAAAATTTCTGTAGAACTTTTTTTGACTTCGTTACAACGAAGCAAAATATCTTCTTCATCGAGAAAACTTTTTTTTAAAGGAACTCATCAACATTTTTGCTATTGGGCTGCGAGCTGAAAAACGATTTTATTGTAAACTATTATTCGTTTTAACGCGATTTTACTTTATTTTGATGGTATCCTTAGTGGTGGCGTCGAGTTCAATGGACAGCTTTATCCGGTTGTGGGATCCCGCGACGGGGATGTTGAAGAAGACGATCGATGCGTCCCCGATGGATTCGTGGACGGTGGCCTTTTCCCCGGATTCGAAGCACCTGGCCTCGGGCAACATTCATGGCAAAATTATCCTGTATGAAGTGGACACTGGGAAGTCCGTCAAATGCTTTGAGACGCGAGGAAAGTTCGCCCTTAGCATAGCTTTCGTGAGTCATTTTTCGTCGTCGATCCTCGTCTTTCGAGAAGATAATGAAACGATTTGAAATAATAATTTAAAAGCATGGAACTGAAGGATCTCTTAAAGTTGAGACTCGAATGAATCATTTCAAGTCAATGAGTTGCGCATTGCTGATGTGTGTTCTTCTCTGCTGATTTTCCGACAATTTTCGTTTTTATTTTCCGGCATCTGGTTTTATTTTGCGCCAAAGTTTGTGTTACAGCATTATTTTGCGTAATTATCATAGTTTTGATTATATAATTTTTTGCATCTATTTCGCTGGTCCCTCCATCAATCAAGTAAATGTTTGCGTATTTTCCATTTTTGGGCGATTTGTGTAGAGTCCAGATGGGAAATACATCGCGAGCGGTGCGATTGATGGAATCATCAATATATTTGATGTTACCACCGGCAAACTGGTTCACACCTTGGAAGGTTCGTTGGTTTTATTTAATTTATGCATATTTTTATGTACGTGTACTCTAGGTCAATCGATGATGCATATATATTTTTATTTTCTAGGTCACGCAATGGCGATTCGCGCTCTGACATTTTCCAAGAATTCTGAATTCCTCATCACTGCGTCCGAAGATGGGCAGATGAAAATTTACGATGTGTGAGTATCGCTTCACCAAAAAAAAATCTCTCGAATTACCCTGCTGTATTCAGAAATAATGTGATTCGAAAAAAGTACTGTGTAGTGATTGTTTTTTTTTTGCCTTTTACAAATATAAATTGCTTTTATCTGGTAGATGTCGCTGTATGTATATGAGCATGGCTACTGCAGTTTGCGAGGGCAAATAGTATTGAGAACGGGTTATTTTCCGGTCCGATTCTTGCATTTTCTTCGTGAATAACGTTGTGGATGTAAATGAATGTGTAATTTGTTCACAATTGAAGATCTAAAGCTCTCTAAGAAAGCCAAAGCTTTCGATTGCGCAGGAAAATTTTGTGCACCCTTTGTTTGGACAGGCGTCTGCTTCATTGTTTTCAAATTCCCTCATCTGATTCATTTTCGATTTCTCGTCACAGTCAACACGCCCACTTGGCGAGCACCTTGTCAGGTCACGGCTCGTGGGTATTGGGACTCGACTTTGCCCCGGACAACTTGTCGTTTGCATCATCGTCTGCGGATCGGACAGTGAAGGTGTGGGACATGAAGGAGCGCAAGTGTCTGCACACGTTCACGAAACACACGGACCAAGTGTGGGCTTGTCGCTACAACCATGACGGCACCCGAATCGTGTCTGTGTCCGACGACAAAAGCATCAACGTGTTTTCCTGCGCAACCTTGTGAAAATGATGAAAAAATTGATTTTTGAATATACTTTCCAGTGATTTGGAGACGCGCGTGACGAATTATTTTCTTTTTTTGTGTGTGTGTGTTTTGCTGCCACTTGAAGGAGTACACTTGAAATGGGAGCGTGAAGGAAGTTTGTTCCGCTTTGTTCAAGTGTAGTTGTTTGCTGGGCTACGAATGGATCGCCAACAAGATGGCGTAGTTTGGTGAATGATTGGGTTTATTTTGTTGTGTGGGAAATCAGGGGTGAGAGATGACGGAGTTGTTGTCGGAAAGTGATCCATGTGGCCAGCAGTTGCTGGCCTTGGTGTCGCGTGGACACGCCATTATTGCCGAACTTCAGCGGCTTGCGAATGTTGTGCCGCCAGTGTTTCGGCTGGATACCAAGCGAGACAAGACGCAGTGAGTTACTGGACTGGAAGAATCGATTTTTTAAATGTATTTTTAAAAGTTTATATCCCTTTGTTTATGGATTTTTGTTGATGTAAAGGTATGGCGATTTGATGTTCGACTTCAACTACTTTTCCCACTCGGACGCCATCAATTCCAAGATAGAAAGCAACGAGAAATTGTTGGACCTTGACGAGGAACTACGAGAGAATTACTCTGAGATCGTGACGCGATTCTTTCGTTGCTTCGAGAGTGTCTACAAGTATGCTGTCGATCTCAACAGGTGCGGAGACTTCGTGGATGATTTATTTTTGTGTGTGTTATGCAAAAAGTTATTCTTTTCGCTAGATTCGTGGATGACCTGGAAAATGGAGGATACATTCACCAGACTCTGGAAACGGTGTTTTTGTACGACGATGGGAAGCAGTTGATGTGCGAGGCGTTGTTTCTGTACGGAGTCATGTTGCTGTTTGCGGACTGGGAGATTGAGGGCGTCGTCCGTGAGAGACTCTTGGTTGCGCATTACAGGTAAGCGGGATTTCTCGATGGGAAAGCGATGGACGAATTACAGTATTTTTTAATTTTCAAATGATTGCCCTCGTCAGTAGGTTTTTTCTGGGGTTGAAATGAAGAGAAGATTGTTTGAAGTGCACTTTGAAGTAATTTTGCCTAGGCTTTTATTTCTTAAACTAAATTTTTTCTCAATTCACTGTGTGATGATGAATGAAAACTTTCCAGTTACAGCCGGAGTTCTCAACCCATGTCACAAGGTGCCAACAATTTGTTAGGCCTGGTAAAAATTATTGAAACTTTTCGGGTACCGATTATCTTTTCTACATCTCAAATAATAGCTAAAACAACAAAATTCAATTTTTTGAACTATCCTAAAATTCCTAAAAATTTTTTAGCACCCTGTGACATGGTTGGAGAGCTCTTGCTGGAAATGTTCAACTTATCATGCTGTAAAATGAAAAAAAAACTTCCCTAAAAATCTGGAAAAACCCCTGACTCGTAGAACATCATGAGCTATACGTTATGATTTTTGTTTAAAATCACATATACAGTACTCTTAAAAAAAATTCAGAGGTTGCATCCAACTGGGATAACCCTCGTATTACTGTACCAGACAGCTTGATTTTCGTCATTCAGACGTGATTCCGACTCCTGAGGTCATTCAAATGAGACTCGCTTTAAAGATTTTTAGTAATGAACAAAACTTGAGTAGACAGTCCTTGTAAAATAATTGAGTCGATTTTTGGATGAATTGATGGTACAGTATAACCACACAAAAAATGCTCAGATTTTCAGGTCACCGTTCCGCTGGTGGTTCAAACGTGGACGACGTGTGTCGGTTGTTGCGGTCGTGTCCGGGCCAGCGGTGGTCCAACGGCTACCCAGAGGACCTTTTCCGACGAGTTCCCGTATCTGAATCTTTCGTGAAATCCGTAGTGGGCAAACTGCGATCTGACGATGTGTATAACCAAGTCAGGTGCTACCCGAGCGCCGATCACCGAAGCGTGGCATTGGCTTCACAAGCCAGTTTACTCTTTGTCACGCTGTTCTTCACGCCGACTATGCTGAGAGATCAAGTACGTAACGAGTCAAGTTCACAATAAAATTACTGAACTCTACGATGTTCCAACCCCTTTTCGAAATGTTTTATTATGCCTCTCGAGGGAATCTCGGAAATTTTCTAGAATTTCCACAAAGAAACCCCCCGTTTGTTTTGAAGAGGCATCATTTATTTCCATTAGTTTAACGATAAGTGCAATTCTCGTTTTGACTCTCGAGAAAGTTCTTCATCAAGCTAATTCTGAATAAGTAGCGAACTAAGTTTTTTTGACAGGAACATATCTGAAATTTTAGCTTTTTTTCGTAAAATCAAGATCAAATGAAGTTTCCTGATTTTAGGATAAACATTTTTGCACAGTTGGATAAAAAAGAATCTAGGCGAAAAAATGGTGCACATTTTCCTGTGATAAAATGAAAAAGTAGTATTTAAAATACTGTAAAATAAAATTATGCGATTTGTCGCTGTAACCTTAATTATGTAAAATACGCTGAGAGAAAATTGGCAAATATAATCGAAGCTCGTGTGATGGCGAAGAAAATGTGTGGATATGCGGCATCAGGTTCTTTTTTTCTAAAGGGATTAATAAGTTTGTGCAACGCTTTTGCAGGCACCTCGGATGCGTGAAGTAGTGGATAAATTCTTTCCCGACAACTGGGTCGTGGATATCTACATGGGCAAGAGTGTGTGTCTGGTGGAGGCGTGGGACTCGTTTCGGGCCGCGCGTTCAGCCCTGTCCAACAACCTGGAGCCGCGATATGTGCGCACTCTGGCTGGGGACCGGTGTGGGGCCGTGGCCGGGCTGCTGGACCAGACGCAAGCCCGCCTGCGACAGGGCCATCTGACGCGTGAAGTGTTGCTGGACGAGGGGAACCGGATACTCAACCTGTTGCGGGACTGTAACGCGTGTCTTCGCTGGCTCACGCTGCATGCGTTGGCAGGAGCAGGGACAGGTGGTGGTGGCAGTAGCGGCGGCGGTACGTGTAGGGCAAGTATGCAGCTGAGGGACACCGTCGTCAAGGACGCCAATTATTCGGCGGCTCGACTCACTGCGCTCTTGCTGGACACGGCCGAGTTGGAGTTGCGCGTGCGGGACACGTACAAGGTAGCGTAGGCTGTGGTTGAATTTTTATTTTGTTGGAGGAAAAAAAAAGATGGGCGTGATAGTGAAACTAATAATATCTGCCTAATTGAATCTCAATTAAACGAACTTTCGTGTGTCAGTTATTTCTTCCAAATTCCTCTCTGTACAGTATTCCCTTGGAAAAAATGCATTAAATATCTCTTGAGTTGAACAATTAACTCGAGTTATAACTCGAGTTTTCCGGAGGCCGTTTTGGCTATTATTTGGCAAACTTGAATATTTTTGCTAGTCCCCTCGATGTTGAATTTGAAGAGATTCCACTTTAATTTCGGTTCTTCCCTTTTGGTGAGGCAGTCGCTGTTGTCGGAGAAGGAAGACAAGTGGAAATCGACGCGACAGGAGTGCGTGGAGCGGATGACGGAGTTGGCGGACGTGTTGTCGGGCACGAAACCGTTGACGAAGGTGGAAAAGAATGAGAGTCTGGAGCGGTGGTGTAGAGACATTGCGAGTCGATTGGCGCAATTGGAGTATGCGAGCGCAGGACCCGCTACTGCTGCAGCCACGGGACGCAAACTCATCCAGATCGTGGAGGCATTGCGAGAAGTGGGTGAATTGCCGCAGGCTGACCAGAGTGCCCAGGTAAATCAAGATGGAACTCGTTTCGACGTGATTTTTATGAAGAAAAAAAAATTTCTCTCGAAAGATAAATAAATGGGATTAAGTTTAGCTGCAAGACGGACGTCCCCGACGTCGTTATTAGTAAGGTTTTATTTCTGACTGACTTTTTCGGATTTGTCGACAGGTTAAGCAATGGATCGAGGAGACGGCAGCAACTCTCAAATACATGCTGCGCCTTCTGACTCTCAAGGAAGAGTTTCTGGTGACGCTGCAGGTAGTCGGAGATCTTAGCTACGCCTGGGAATTGTACGATGGACTCGTGCCGGAGATTCAGAAACTGATCGCCGAAAATCCTGCGATTGTGGCCAAACTGAGGGCTACGTTCCTCAAGCTTTCGTCTGCGATGGACATGCCGTTGCTTCGAATAAATCAAGCTCGAAGTCCCGACCTCATTTCGGTGAGAGGGTTGAATTGAACACCTGATTTTTTTTTGTTTTCTTCTCAACTTTGACCCAGTTGATGCAATATCGAGTTATATTAGTGAATTTAAAAATGCAGTCTGTTGATGTTGGATTTATTTTGTGCTTAGGTGAGCAGGTATTATTCCGGAGAAGTGGCAAACCGCGTCAGGACGACGCTGCAGATCGTTCCCGAATGCATGTTCCGACTTTTGGGCCAGGTTATGGACGTGCTCACCAACAAGATGCCGGATGTGCCGACGCGGCTGGACAAGGACCGACTCCGCGACTTTGCGCGGCCCGAAGACCGGTTCCTGGTGGCCCGACTCACGGACTCCATTTCCCTGTTTTCCCAGGGCATCTTGCTCATGAAGACGACGCTGGTGGGTGTGGTGGAGCTGGACCCCAAGCGTCTTTTGGAAGACGGCATCCGGAAAGAATTGGTGAAGCGATTGGCCTGGGCGCTGCATTCCGGCCTCCGCTTCTCCAACGCGCCGGACCAAAAGCTGGCCCGCCAATTGGCGGCACTTGGCCGAGAAACGGAGGGCTTTCGGCGCTCGTTTGAGTACATGCAAGACTATGTAGACCTGCCGGGGTTGCGGATTTGGCAAGAGGAATTGTCGCGGATCGTCAACTACAACGTGGAGCAGGAGTGCAACTTGTTTGTGCGCAACAAGGTGCTCGACTACCAGAGCGTGTATCAGAGTCGGACCGTTCCGATCCCGCGTCTTCCGCCGTCGAGTGCCGAGTCGGCGACGTTTGTAGGCGCCTTGGCCCGCGAGCTGCTGCGTCTCACTGACCCCAAGGCGACGTTGTGGTTGGAGTCGGTGTGGACTTGGTTTGAGGCCAGGACGGTGTCGAGTAAAACCGGCGCCACGACGGCGTTGGTCAGTGGGCGAGCGTTGAAGGCTGTGCGGGACAGTGTCGGCACTGCTGGTCTCTACGGGCTCCGTCGCATTTTAGGGTTCATGCTCGTCAAGGAATTGCAGGTCCGTTGATTTTTTTTTCTCTCTTCAAGCTATCGACAAATTTCTTTGCTTGCACTGAGTTTTTGCATGCAGTAAAACCTAGTTACGTCAAACTTTTGGGGACTTGAGGACACTTTTTTTATACTGAATAATTTTTTATATCGAGATTTTTCAAAATCAACGGCTGAAGAACGTTTTGACATGAAACCTGCCTATAATCAGTTGAATCTTGCTTTTCTGGCAGTCTCAGATTTTTTCATTATTGTTTGAAAAACTGAATGATCTTCTGAAATAAAAATTAGCTTCAATCATGCATTTCATCAGATGCACTGATTTCTTCATTCTTGGAGGATCATGTGAAATTTCTACCTGGAAAATAAATTGAGCATTCCTCAAAAATTATTTTTATTCTATAATAAGGGAGGTTTTCAACGCGATTTTTTTAACGTGTACTCTATGTGCTTTCTTCCAGGACTTAATGAAAAGTTTTTTGAACTGGAAAATGTGTTGTAACGACTAACAAGATTTTACTGTATTCAATTATTTATTTTAAGTTGAATTCCTAATGAAGAGCAGAGAATTTGACTTTTATCACCACCGGAATCATTGAAGCTATGTTTTTATTCTTTTGCATTGTGCTGAAACTGCTGTAAGCCGAATTTTTTTAAATGCTCAGACATTCCTTTTTGAAGTTCTCTTGATTTTCTGAGGTGACGAGCTAACAGTCAAGTAAATGTTATTGTTACGATTTAGGAAAGTTCCTTGGAAACTCTGAGTGGAATTTTTGTAGTTTTTTTTCACTAGCGATGTTCAGCAAAAACACGCCTTCTTTTCGAGTAGATTTTATTTTGCAGGTACGGATCTTTCTCGTACAAAATCTTCCTTGGTGCTGAAAATTGTCGCTGTAGGTTTGTTCGCGAGAAAAAAATCCAGTTCAGAAAAGAAAAGCAGGCTTTCAAGGATTTGCAACTCCTTTCCGCATATTCGAAAGTTGGCCTGTGCAAGACGCGATTTATGACGATTTGACACAGTTCAATGCAGATTTATTGCTTAACCTAGATGGCGCTCCCTACCCCTCAAAAATTGAGTACAAAGGCAGTGCAACCACACACAAACGCGAACAGAAATTTCGGACATGAATTTCGCCTGCTTCCCTACATGGCAGCATGTGATGAAAAGGTTTTTGATGATGATGCCTCTTTTTCGTCGCAGGAGTTTCTAGCGCAATGCGAGCGTCAGTTCGTGGCAGACAGGCCTGTGAAAGAGGCTCTGGATGAAATGGCCAAGGGAATGCAGTGGCGAACTGCGACTGCGTTGGCCAACCGTCACTGGAAAAGCTGGTCGACGCTGCTGGACTCGCTGGCCCGCGTGGGCCAGATGCAGGTGCTGCGTGTCCTCGCCGCACACGAACTAGAAGTGACGTGTCGGGCGGATGCCCAGCATTTGGCTGCCAGTTTGGACACGCTGAACCGGGCCTTGGTGACGGACCTGAGACGGAAACAGCGGCAGCGAGAGAAGGACCGTCGTTTGCCGGTTTCCGGTTGGAAGGAGACGGAGGATGGTAGAATCGGGCCAGATAATCCGCTGTTGTTTGACGTGGCCAGTTTTGCGGACCACGCTGGAATGGTTGACTCCAACAAGATTTTTGTGACGGTGTCCAACTCGGAGCTTCGATTACCGCTTGTTATTGCTGTCTTAGGTGACTTTTTTTTTCTTCTATGACTACTTTTCGACCACTCATGAAAAAACGAACAGCTGATCTCCACTTGAAGTTATACTGAAAGTCAACCACAGGAAACTCCAGGAAAAATAATTAAATTTGTTCAATACACAGTTTATTTTGTTCCTAGAAATTGTGATGCAAAAAATGCTATGTTGATTTTTCGGGACTGAATGCAGTACTGTACACTGAAAATACAGGTAGACTCTCTGCGACGATTTTCTCTGCATAACGATTTTTTTGTGGTCTCGTAGGGGCCTCTATAACAGTACCTATATTTTGGAGATTCTCTACAACGGATCAACGTCGCCAATACTTGATTAATAATTAAAATGTCATGGATCGATATGTACAACGCAACAAAATTGAAGCCCTATCGAAGTTTTGATGCGGGAATCCGGATTTTTTCGCCGGAAATTACGTTCTTTTATGGGTTTCGGGTACTTGCTACCAGATGGTGAAGTTGGACCAGTTTCCATTGTATTTGTATTTGTTGTTATTATTTCAGTGTCCCACGCAGCCGGGAAACAGTGGACGTACATGCGAACAGTTGACAAGGTGGTGCCGAAAAAGCACGACGGTGGGACGTCGGATCCAAGCATGGTGGCTCACGGGATCGCGACAGTGTTTCACCAGCTGCATCCGGACAATTTGAGACTATTTTTACGACATTTGTCTTCTTTTTCGTGCTACCAGTTTGAACGAGGCACGGGCTCTGCAGACGTGGTGCCAGTGGACGCCACTGTTGTCTCCATGTTCGTGGACCAGGTGGCCAAGGCTGCTGGGCTGGACAGGCACGAACTGGAGACCCTGTGGCCCAAGGCCCTTCTGGACTTCAGTCGTCGCATTTTCAATCACGGTTTGGTCAAGTGAATCAATGCGTAGTTCACCAGGGCTTTTTTCAGACATTTTTGGGTGACGGAGTGGCACTCAATATTTTTTTTTTTCATTTAAGTGGCTCTGCTGAGGAAAAAAACTTGATACTTGGCATGTGTCCATTCAATCTATTGCTTTGCTTTTCTACCCATCAAGAAAGTTGCGCAGTTCTGAGAAAAAAATGTTTGTAAGCCCTGGTGTAGACTGCTTTGAGTCCAATAACGTGTTCCCAATACGAGTGCCTTCAAAGTTGAGATCAAAACTGAAAAAGAAAATTCCGTTTGATGCATTGTTTCATGAGAGAGTGATGGTTTTATTTTATTTTCATTTTCGACTGTCTCACGGAGGGATTGTGTCATCGAACCGTGTTCGTATTGTCCTCGTGCTTCGATTTAATATTTTTGTTTTCCTCTTGTCGCATGCTTGCGAACTGTATTCCAAACCTGTGAAGAATCTTATTGTGATCCCGGGAGGATTTTTCCCTGAAAAAGATATACTGTGATCCCGTCGAGGACGTGATTGAAAAATTTCACGTAGAGTTTCACAGGAAGGAAAAGTTACCCCAAGTTCCTTTTTTCAAAGCTACCCCGTTTTTTTTTCTTTCAGAAAACTGTGAATACTGCGTGTGCCGTCGATTTTTATAATGTCCGGAAACGAAAGTCGGGAACTGATTCGGAAAAAAGTGGAATTGCACAAGAAGATAAAGCGCTTGAAAGAGGCCAAATTATTGAAGCAACTCGACAAGCGTTTGGCGGCGTCCGAAGAAGCCAAAAATGCTGCGATCGTCAACACTGAAGCTAGGAAAAAGAAGAAGAAGAAACCCGCTTTGTCGAAGCGGAAAAAGAAGGAAAAATTGAAGGCGCTCATGAGTATGTGTGTGAATAACGATGAGTATGCGTTACTTGAATAACTATGGATAGTTTTGCTCAGATTCCCACGTTTTACCTGGTGCGAAGAAGAAGAAAGAGAAGAAGAAGAAGACTTTGCCGGAAGAAACGACGACGACGACGAGCAGCGCCAACGGAGAACCGGAAGAGCTCGACGCCCAATGTGAGAGAATGGAAGAAGAGGAGGCAGTAAAAGAAGAAGAAGAACAACAACCAGGCGCCCCGAGTGAACCGCCCGAGGCGTCCGTCGAGACAGACGCCAAAACGAAGAAGAAGAAGCAGCGCTGGGCCAGGCCTCAAGACGAGGGCGTGCAAGAGAAGACAAAGCGGAAAGTGATGCGTCGTTTGCGAGAAGCGGAGCTGGCCTGTTGCATCAGCATAGCTGTCCCAGGCTCAGTCATCGACAATGCCCAGTCGGCGGAATTGCGGAGCTACGTCGCGGGCCAGATTGCGCGAGCCGCCACGATTTACCGGGTGGACGAAGTCATCGTGTATGACGACACGAAGCCGACGACGACGTCTGCTTCGACGGAAAACGGTTGCGAGGAACGATACACTAAACGCGAGGATACGGATTACGAGGAAGACGCGTTTCGTGGTGGATTTCAAAAGGGCCGAGGCGCTGTGAGTTGTCCTCGAAATTGTGTTATTCTATTTTTTTTCTCGTTTTTTGCGAGCTATTCTTAGTTTAGCGAAGAAATCTGCGTGAAAAATCTATGATCTGAATATAAATTAAATCGTATATTGCTGTATTTGTTGATATCTTCGGTCGAACCTCTAAAAGTCGAATATCAAAGAAGCAGCAAAATAAATCGAGTTATGGAGGCTTCGAGTAGAGGAAAAAAGCATTTTTGTTTGGAGGAAAGAAAGAAGAATCGCGGGTAATTGTAATGGTGATATTCTGAGCCTTGAATTGCTTCTTGAATGAGTTGACAGGATGCTGAACTTGGAGGCAAGGGTTAATTCTCACAATTAATCTTGTACTTCCTTTCAAAGCGCATGAAGTTACATTTTTATTGCTTTTCTCTTTCCTATGTCAAGAAAATATTAGCCGAAAGGCCTCGGAAAATTTGGGTTTCGGAAGTTTCAGATGAAAAAGCCTTCGTGTTGGAGAGGTTTTTAATGCATTTTTCCCCAAGAGAATTCAGACATGTACTGTTTTTGGAACAAATTCAGCTTATGAAGGTTCGAGTTTCCGAGGTTCAACTTCACTTTAAATTGGGCGTGTGTTTGTGTTGATTGGTTTACAGGTGCAGCTGGCCCGGATATTGCAGTACCTGGAATGTCCGCAGTACTTGCGTCGAGCCCTTTTCCCCGTGCATCCGGATCTCAAGTACGCTGGCCTTTTGAACCCACTCGACGCCCCGCATCACATGCGACGCGATGAGGCCAGTCCATACCGGGAAGGCGTCGTTCTGGACAGGCCTCACAAGGGCGACGGTTCTCTGGTGGACGTCGGGCTGGACCGTCCCGCGCGAGTGGACAAGAAACTGGTGCCGGGCACGAGGGTCACTGTGTCCATGCAGCAAGCTGGTCGGGGCAAGCTCGTGAGTCCCAGGACACCCAGGGAAACCCATGGTCTCTATTGGGGCTACGAGGTGCTACATTTATCTTTTTTTGTGTGTTGCGTTCTGTCTCTAGTCGGGAGTTCTTCTCCAAAAAATTGACGAATTAATTTGAGAAACCCTTTCACGATTTCATTGCAACATTTTGTTGTTGTCGTGGAAGCCCTAAATAAATTCATCAAATCTCTCTGATTGGGAATCTCACAAGTTGCTAGATTCTTGCCTTTGGTGGGCCAGGGACTTTAGGGTCAATTTGACGAGTTTCGGAAGCATTTCATTCGAACTACTTACTAAAAACTAAAACCGAAATATTTTTAGACGCCCTGTGTCAATTGTGTTCTACGGGGAAAGCACGAAATCACGGGAATTTGGATTTAGTAGTGAACGCAAATTTATAAGCACAACGAACTTCTGGCGTATTTTTGAAGCAGTCTTCCGATATTTTTACGTAGTAGATTACTCAAGAAAGGGTGTTCGGTAATTTTTCTGTTGAAGGTGAGGTACGAAACAGGCGGTTTATCGAAGGTGCTGCAAAACAGTGCGCGTCCGAACGAGCGGTACGATGTGAAGATCGGCACTTCAGATGCCGGTACAGACGTGACGGCCTTGGACGTGTCCCGCTCAAACAAGGGCGACGCGGAAAACGCCCGGCGCCTCCCGCATCGCATCCTGATCGTGTTTGGCGGATTAGACGGCCTGGAGACGGCGATTGAGAATGACGCTGAGAATCTGCGACGAAAGGACAAGGACGCCACGCCGACTGATATTTTTGACCACTACGTGAACGTGTGTCCTGAGCAGGGTTCGAGGACGATTCGGACGGAAGAAGCTGTGTTTATTGCCCTGGCCAGGATTGTTCCTGCTGTCGCGAATGTTTTTCGGGATTGGCAAAGTTGGCTATGACGACGAGCAGTGGTTATTTGCGGACTTTTTTTTTTGTGGATCCTCCTCTGTCTGACCCCGTGTTTTTACTGGATACGTCGTGAGAGAAACACGAAAGAGAGAGAGACGTCATGTTTTTTGATCATCGGAGCTCCCGGGTTATTTTGTGGGTTTTCACGTTCATTTCATTTTTCTGACTGGTTCTTTTTTGGTGAATCACGGGCTTCTCTAAAACCCACGAAACATGAATATTTCTAGTCCAGTCGCCATTGTCTGTAAATCATGAATTTTGCGTTGTTAAATGTCGGGGACAGTGTTGAGGAAGCGAGGAAAATCCCGTCTCAATTCCAACCTTATGAAAGCATTTGGAACTTGTTAGTGCTAATGCCAGTGCGATGTAATCCATGCCAAATTTAACAGATGATACTCAGGCAAGAATATTTTTCTTGAGAATTGTATTTTTCTCGTCTCTTTTAATTTGATGGTAAAGTAAATTCTTCAGTCTCCTATGCTCGTTCGATTTAAAAAGTTCATGATTGCACTTTCAAAAATCAAAAACATGCTCTTATTTGTTAATTTTGTATTTGTATTATGATTATTGGAAGGTTTCATTCATTTTTATAATAGAGGTCGTTACAGCTCGAGAATTGCTTAAATTGACCATAAGCGGTGTTGTCTTAATAAGGCGCATCTTATAAAAAATTGTGAGTTTGAAATGTTTCTTCGCATCCTTCAATTTGTCCTCTTCCAGAAAGCAGTTTATTCGAGGTGCTTCATCTTTGGAGCATTTTCAATTTCCTGGAGACACACACACAAGCAGCCGAAGTTGTGTTGAAAAATGAAAGTGCTAGGCATAGGCGGGAAATTGTCATTGCTGGATTTGTTATCAATTCATCGAAAGGAAAGGAAATATTTTTTCTAAAAATAATCGGAAATTTCACGCAGAAAAAGAAAACTAATATGCTGTCGAAAAAAAAATTGATATTGAGAAGAAAAATTTCAACGATTTTCGTAGCATCATGACTTAGATTTCAGGCTGGGACAGTAAGTCTTGTTTTTAATATGTAAACCGTTTTGAAACGAAGAGGCTTCTTGAGGTGATTCAAAAAGAAAGAACCGTCTGACGTTGGCAAATGTTTTCGCTCTCTCAACTTTTTTGATGGATTTCCCTGCCTGCGTTTTTATTTTGTGTGACTCAGTTAATTTAGGAACAAATGCGCCGAATTCCTTTCATTTTTGCGTGACGCGCGTGCGTGCGTGAGTGCGCTGCAATTGTCGCGTGATGGAGCCGAAGGGATAAACAGCGCAAGATTCCGGAAGCCGGAAGTAGGCCGATAGAAGAGGATGTTCCGAAGTGCGGATCGTCCGTTTGGGAACATCGAATGCCCTTACTTGAAGAAGGGGCTTTGCACTCGTCCGTACTGTCATTTCCAACATGACAGTGAGATTTCCAAATTTTTCCTCTTTATTCGTATCGCCGGGAAATCGAATATATTTTTTTTAATGCGTCTTGGAAGTTTCAATTAATTTTTCTTTTGGAGTTTTAGTCCAACTTTCTTCTGAAACAAATTCATTTTCTCAGCTTAGTCTGTAAATTGAAAAATTGTTGCTTCGACTGATACCATTAAATTTGATTCTTCTGATTCGGGCCATAAAGTGAAGCTGTTGAAATTTTTGGGTTGTACTGCTGGAAAATTTAATCTGAACAAAAGAGGATCAAAAATAATTTTCCCGAGGATCCCACAATAATTTCATCGCCTTGAAAATATCGTGCGCATCAAGAGATGATCGCGTTATTTGAAAAATAAAATAAACAAAATGTCGTAAAGGTGGTTTTTTCTCTCTATTTCTTTCCTTGAGCAGACGTGACGGCGAGTGCGGAGAGCGATGTGTGGAAGTCGGCCAAATTCCGGAAGTCGCTGCAGGACCAGGTGCTGACGGAACTGATTCGTCTCTGTTCGGGTTCCATGTCCGGCGACGCGACGTCGGCGCAGAACCTGAGCAGGACGGCGAGAATAGCGGTGGACGCCGCCTGCGACGCCCTCTTGCAGCAGGAGAAGAAGAAGGCGACGACGACGAAGCAAGTCCTGTATCCTGTGCCCGCGAACGCCCCCAAGTACTCGGCAACACCCAAAGATGTTCTCGAACGAATGAGGTGCGACATTTTTTATTTTTATTTTATTCAACTTTCGATGTACGAAGTTCTTTATTGGGATCGATTTTTCGTTGTGTGTAATATCTTAAGATTTTTCTGTCGCTATAGCAAGACTTGTTCTTGGTTTTTTTTTTTTCAAGTTCTTTTCATATCAAAAGATTGGATCAAGTGTGATTTTCTTCTGCACTGTTGTTTTTTCTCTGTCTGGAAGTTGACAAAAATTCTTTTATTCGATTTTTCGGGACTCTCACCTAATTTTGGATTAAGAGGAGAACCAATCAGGTAGATTCTCACTGAAATCGAAGGGTAAACATGGAACCGACATGAGAGGGGTCTGTTGGAAGTTGAAACCTGTTGGTTTCGAGTTTTTTCATTGTTTTGCAAAACGATTGCAGCCTATTACGTGCAGATGAAGATGAAAAATAATCAGAAATAAAGACGTACGAGAAGCTTTTGAAAAATATCTTCGATGCTCTGAAGCTCTACAGTATTTTTAATGCCAGGACAGGAAGTGTCATGTCTTATTAGAATTGGTACGATCGGGGAAATGTTTTGAACAAAGGCCTTGTGTATGGACTGGATTTTACCGAGCTTATTTATTTCATGCCAAATTTGTGCAGGAGCGTGACGCAAGAGCGATCAGACGTGCCGACCTACAGTCCAGCGGTGGCCCCGCCGTCGACGGGCAGTTCCTCGCCGACGCCGTCGATGCAGCACCAGCAACTGCTGCAGCAGGTAGACGAGGACAACGCGTCCCAGTATTACGACTCGCAAGCATTATTCATTGAAGAGAACCCGGTGGAAGAAGACGAAAGCTTGATGTGCGATTCAGCCAAGGACGTGAAGGTATTTGCCGCACCTTTGCCTCCGGAGAAAGCGGCATTGCCGCCTCGGAAGAAAATCGTGGTGAACACGGAGCGTCCCATTGGCACTATCCGTCCGCTGGGCTCCGTCTCGACTACCCGGATTGACACTCTGGAAGACATGTTTTGTCCCGTGTCGCCGGATATTAAACTGTTCAAGGCGCCGTTGCCGGTTGTTGTGGCGGCGACGGCGACGAAATCGGTGACTGGTGGTGCCAAAGCGGCGGATGCGAAAAGCGACACCCGCGTTCCGGTGGAAGAGGAGCAGGAGCCGACCTTGACTCAGCAAATGCAGACGATTCACGGTTCTCAGGTGCGTTAGAATTCAGATATTTTTATACTTTCCGAATTTCAGCTGCCATTTTAGTCTTTTCTTGTGTGGAAACAGTAAGAGGCTTCATCTCGCTAGAATTTTGAAGAATAAAATAATTTGTTGAATTAAGGCAGTCATTTTAATTTATTTTTTTCTTCTCTTCTTCCCATGCGGAAAAAAATACTACAGTAGAGCCTACGAAAATTCGTTAAAACGGAATCGAAGAAACATCGTGACTATTGGACAGGGACCGAAAAAAAAAATTGTTGTAAACATTACTTTGTTTTAGCCAGATTCCGTGTATGTACAGGATAATTTTCTTCTGGAACAGGTTACGACTTCATTTCATACGCAGTATTCCAATTATTATACTTTGGATTCATTGATTGAAATTCTTTAAAAATATACAAGGAACCTGTCCTGAATAAGTATTTTAAGCGTTACTTTTTCACCCGCACGCTTGAATTGGAAGATGACACCAAAATTTCGAAAAAAATGCCGCAGAAAATATTCTATTGAATAGTTTTCTGATTCTGAAAATTTATTTGAATATAGTGTACCAAAATCAAACGAAATTGTAGAAAATATAAAGTCTTGATGTTTTTCTCTCTCTCTCTCAATTCTCTCTAGGGATTTTTTCCTGAAATCGATGCTGGACTGTCTCCAATAGGCGATGATAAAGTGAGTTTTTGTTGTCTTTTGAAACAAACGTTTGGAAAGCGTGCAGATGTCTTCGATTAATGCGACGATTAATCATTTATTAATTTTTGATTTAAAGATGAAAAATGAGGGAATGCGATCCTCGACGGCAGCGAAGGGATCGTCGGAAGCCGGGCAGACGGCGGCTGCAGACGATCTCTCGTTGACGCAGAAACTGGAGGACATGTTTGACCAGGCGTCGCCGCGACTGCCGCTACCGGCGCCGAAACCGATCGTCATCAAGCGAGATCCCGACTTGATCGACATGGATGAAGACGAGGCGCTTTTCCATGAAGACTACGGAATCGACTACTCGACGATGGAACCCGCTGATTATTATGACGCAGATATGGAAGAACATGTCCTGCAGGTTATTTAAAATCACTGATTCCACCTTTTATGTGGCTGATTGATGGAAATTTGATTTCTCCCCTTTCTTGAATGCTTCTCGGAAATTCAGTTTTTTTCTTGTTTAAATGTAAAAAAAAAAGAAAAAACCATTTTGATGTACAGTAATTCATATCCGTGTGATGAAAAGTTTCGGAATCACTCACAAGCAACATTTTATCGCTCATGTGATTATTATTCTCCTGGATTCTGTTTTTCACTGCTGAACTCCCAGTGACGTGGAAAACGTGTTTTTCAGTCGAGTTAATTTTATTCGCATTTTGTCAGGCGAAAAGTGGACCATCCTTTGAAGAAGCCCTGGGTTCGACGGCCGCACCTGGTTCACGAAAGCGCGCCAGAAGCAGTAGTTCATCAGCAGCGGATCAAGCATTTGACAAGCTGCGCAAGACTGAGAATTCCGGCGTCAAGAAAGACGAGGATCGCCGTCACCGCCACAACAGCAGCAAGAGCAAGCGGCATTCCAAGAGTGGCGGCGGCGGTGGTGGCGGCAGTGAGGAGGACTCGAAGGACCATCGACGCGACAAAAAGAAGCACAAGAAGAAACGAACGAGGGACGTGAGCAGCCACAGTCACAGTAGAAGTCGCACAAAGCACGAGAACAAGGCGCCGAAAAGAGAAGCGAAACAGGAGGAGGAAATGAAGAAGAAACCGAAGATGGAAGCCGTGACGAAAATTAAGAAACGTTTCGTGTCGGCGGCTCTGCGCGAAAAGAAGAAAGCTAGAAGTGAGTTGACGCTCATTTTCCTGCGTTTTAATTTTCCTACGCATTTGCTTCCATGATTACAGTATTTTGAAAGAAAAATTCAAGTATTTTGTTTGTTAAGAAAAGTACGAAAACGTTATTTTCTATTCTCCATCATTTGAAGAGTTCTGTCATCGCAGATTTGAGAGGCGGAAAATTCAAAAGCTAATGCACACATTTTTTTAATTTTTACAGGTTAAGGATTAAAGATTCTCCTTCATATGCAAATAAATTCTTGATATGACAATTTGGAAAATGAAAAATGTTGTTAAAATGCATTTCCATTTAATTCCAATGTTCATATTCAATCTGGATTTTTTAAACAAAAAAAGGTCATTACTTTTTCCTAGTTGTGATAAATTTATGAGTTTAGAATTTTGAGGATTTTCGTTTCTTTCTTATGGCTTTAACTGCGAAGTAATTTTTTTTTAGCTATGATCGAAATCTTGAATCTCTCGTGGTTCAGGAAGAGCGTGTGAAAAATCTGTTCGTTTCCTCGAAAATCCAGGAGAGCAGTACAAGACCTTTCGGACGACGTTGACCAAGATGAACGTTCTCTGGGACACGACGGAATCCAGCTCCGATTCTTCGGAAGAGGAAGAAGCCCTGTTGACCTCCGACGAAGAGTTGTCAGCAGACGCCACGGACGTCTCCGTGCATAACCATGGAAAAAAGCAGACGGAGTCGGTGATGAATGGGACAGCCAAGAGGTCCGTCGATTCTCCGGTCAGAGCTGCACCAGCAGCAACAACGGCGGCGGCGACGACAACGTCGACGATTACAACGACGGTAGTTGAACCGCCGGTCCCGGTCGTAGCCCCCAAGTCACGGGTTGCGCATTCTTCGTCGGCGGAAGGCAACCGCATCCCGGTGCCGACGGCCGCCATCAAACACCGACGCTCAATCAGCGACGCGCGAAACGTAATTCATTTTTTTGATTAATTTTTCTATTATATTTTGATGAACTGGTTATTTAGTTTTTTGATTATCAATGTGGATCACAAGAAAAAAGAAAAAAACCCGGACTTCGATTCAGCGTGTGGATAATTTTCGTGTTTCAATACGTATCCGACGAAGCGAACTTTTATCCATTTTTTCAGCTCTTTTTCGCAACTATTGTTTGATTGATTGATGAACTTGTTATTTGATTCTGCTGATGATGAATGTGGATCATGAGCAGCACCCAAGAAAATGTGGTCTTCGATTCAACGCGCATTGATGATTAATTTTCATTTTTCATCGCTTATCCGACAAAGCAAGCATTTTCTTTTCATTTTTTTTCTGCTCGTCTCGCTACTAGTGATCGATCAACTTGTTATTCAAATCTGCTGATGATCAACCACAGCACCCAGAAAAATTGTGCCTTCGATTCAACCAACTTCTCTTGCAGGAAATGTACGACCGGTCCCGGTCGTAGCCCCCAAGTCACGGGTTGCGCATTCTTCGTCGGCGGAAGGCAACCGCATCCCGGTGCCGACGGCCGCCATCAAACACCGACGCTCAATCAGCGACGCGCGAAACGTAATTCGTTTTTTTGATTAATTTTTCTATTATATTTTGATGAACTGGTTATTTAGTTTTTTGATTATCAATGTGGATCACAAGAAAAAAGAAAAAAACCAGGACTTCGATTCAGCGTATGGATAATTTTCGTGTTTCAATACGTATCCGACGAAGCAAACTTTTATCCATTTTTTCAGCTCTTTTTCGCAACTATTGTTGGATTGATTGATAGATGAACTTATTATTTGATTCTGCTGATGATGAATGTGGATCATGAGCAGCCCCCAAGAAAATGTGGTCTTCGATTCAACGCGCATTGATGATTAATTTTCATTTTTCATCGCTTATCCGACAAAGCAAGCATTTTCTTTTCATTTTTTTTTCTGCTCGTCTCGCTACTAGTGATCGATCAACTTGTTATTCAAATCTGCTGATGATCAACCACAGCACCCAGAAAAATTGTGCCTTCGATTCAACCAACTTCTCTTGCAGGAAATGTACGAAAGGTTGAAGCGGATGAAGGAAACCAAAGCTGCTGCGAATGCTGCTGCTGCTGCTGCTGCAGCTGCAGCGGCGAAAAGATCTGCGTCTTCAGCTTTATCTGATAGTTCCGGAAGTTCGTTGATAGGTTAGTTGAGCTTCCTTTTTTTTTTTATTCGACTTCTCATTTTGTTTTGCGAACAAGAGATTCGAGTCCTGTGGGAATAAATGGAAGTGTATTTTTACGTAGGATTCATGCTAGAAATCGAGGGTGGTAGCTGAAAAAAATTTTAAAACACAAGATTACGCTTAGTAAAGTGCCAGGAGGAAGGAATGTTCGTATCAATGCATAGGTGCATTGTTCGCGTTTGAAATGTACCATAAATTTCAGTCTCAAAATTAAATTTTGAATCCTCAACTTTGGGATTTTCCCCCTCAAAAAAAAAAGTGTGTTGAACAAATTTTTGTTTGTCAACTGAGCGTACATTGTACTGTATTTCTTTTTTTTTTTTTGCTCGATTTCCGTATCAGCTTTAGAGAGGAAGCGGTTGGCGAGTGTCCGAGACTCGGGACACGGACGGCGTGGCTCGTTGGGGGAAGCATCGGCAGCAGCAGCAGCAGCCGCCGCCAAGCCGAGTCAGAAGGAGACGAAACCGTGTCCGCCGCCCAAACGGGTGCCGACGGTGACGTATTCCCGCGTGACGCCGACGGGTCTGTCGGTGACGTCGCGGCAAGAGCGGCTGGAGAAGCTGTACGTTGCGCTGTATGACGCGGATCCGTTTACGGCCACTGCCCAGGCCGTGGCCCAGGAGGAGTCGGTGTGCATCAAGTCCAAGACGAAGCAGAGCTACCTGAGCAACATGACCAACGCCATCCTGAGTGTGCGCAAGCTCAACGATGACAAGAAGAACAAGGTACAGTATCGCACGCACGCTCGTCGACGCGGAATTTTTAGAAGTACAGTATGAGCTTGCGATTGAGAGGAAAAGGGTTGGCATCAATCCTTGACATGGGGATTCAAGCGCCCTTGGAAAAAGTTATATTTCAACCCTGGGCAGTTTTTTATTCGCATGGAAATTGATGTCAAAAGAACACTGTTGTAGGCAGAAAGAAGGACAAGGAAAGATCCGGAAAAAATGTCTCTGGACCGTGCAAACATAAACAAGGCAAAAATTAGTGAGCTTGTTGAGGAAAGTTTGGTCTTTTATCACAGAATTTTCTTTACATCATTCCTTTGAAGAAGCTGTCGCAGGACCAATCAAAATCGTTTTGTTGAGATTCGTAACGCAATTTTACTGTGGTAGAAAATAGAGCATTGAAGCGTTTTCAATCTTGCGATTGACTGAAGTTGGAAACATTCGGGCGACACCTGTGTTGAAGCGAATAAAATCACGAAGCGAATTCCCGAAATAAACTCGTCGAGCGTCGTCTGAGACACGTAATCTCTGGCAGTATTTTCTAAATGATGAAATGGCGAATCATTTCGTGTCGGGGGTCTTCTTATCTCGTGGTTTCGGAGACGAGTCTCATCCCATTTCGAGTGAGAAAAATGCGAGATATGCCCGTCGTGTGTGTGTTTGATGACAAAAACAAGTGAAGCCTGTTTCATTTTATTTCTCTTTCTGTGTTTGTAGTCTATGGGCGGCAGCAGTGGTGGCTTGGGTGTGTCCCACGCGGAAATCCTGGCCGGCAAGAACGGACAGAAGAATTCGTGGAGTGTGGAAAAGAAGCGGGCGCCGATGGACGAGAACGTGATGCGGAACGTGTTCTACGAACTGCTGCTCAAATACAAGCTGACGGACGACCAGTTGCGGGACCTGAATTTTCCCAGGCCGGATCCGGACGACCCGCACAGGGCCAGGTTCCCCGGGCTGGAAAACGACTTGGAGCGCAGAGTGAGTGGGGAGGGGAAAAGGTTCTGTCCCAGCTTCTCGATTGAAGCACAAGGACTCGAAAATAACAAATAATCAAGTTTAAATATGCAATCCAAACTTCTATAAATCTAACTTTGAGGGACTAGCAAACAGACATTTTAAATAATTTTGCAACAAAGAAGAAAACTTAGTAAAATTGCTCCCTCAATTTTATAGGAAAGTTTTGAAAATATTCCTGCTAGAATATTTGAGGCAGAACATTTCTAGTGATTTTGGGAGCCAACGTGTCTCAAGACAGTTCAAGGACATTTAGGATAACAGCTGATTTATCCAATTAGTCCTGCACTTTTTTTTTTCAGAACAAATTTTTATTTATTTTTTCTCACCTATGTAAATTAAGTAATAGCCAGAAGGCCTCCAGAAAATTAGAGTTATGGAGATTTGTGGGAGAGACTTTAATATTTCTGAGGGAATTGAGCAATGACTCGATCAATTCCTTAGTCGAATGTCCTTTTTCGAGTAGATTCGATGTCGTTCTGTTCATGTGTGTGTGTGTGTGTGTGTATGTTTTTTGCAGAAGCTGCACGAGAACCTGGTCAAGTTCAAGAAGAACCCGGAGGCCATGCCGCGGCGGTGCGTGCGATGCGGCAAGGCGGTGACGGTGGACAAGAACTTGGTGCCGATCGGCGACTGTTCCTACCACCCGAAGCGGTCCTTTTCCCGCCGCGGGCCAGGCGGCATCGAGAAGACGTACCTGTGCTGCAACATGGACTTCAACAGCGACGGCTGCTCGAGTGCCGACAAGCACGTGGTGGACCTGTTCGACCCCTGGCAGCAGTTTGGCTACTGCAGCACCAAGCCCGAGTCGGGCCATGGTGGCCCACAGCAGCAGACCCCGCAGGTGTACGCTGTCGACTGCGAGATGGTGTACACGACGCAGGGCGTGGAGCTGGCCCGGGTGACGGTCGTCGACTATGACGGCGGTCGGAAGTACGACGCCCTCGTCAAGCCGCCCAACATCGTGCTGGACTACAACACGCGGTTCTCCGGCATCACGGAGGGCGACTTGGACAGTGTGACGCGGACGCTGGGCCAGGTGCAGAAGGAGTTGCGGGAATTTATTTCGGCGGAGACGATGTTGTTGGGCCACAGTTTGGAGTCGGACCTCAAGGCCCTGAAGATGATTCATGGCACGGTGGTGGACACGAGCATTGTCTGGCCTCACAACCGCGGGCTGCCGTTTAAGAAGGCGCTGAGGACGCTGTGCCAAGACATGTTGGGGGACATTATTCAGAATGAAGGAGGTTAGTTGTTTTTCGAAGCGGATGGAATAAAGGAACCTCATCTCATGCCTGGCCAACATTTTAAAATGCTTTGAAACAATCGAGTTTAAATTTCAAGAAAGCCACCATGACCTAATCACGCAGCATTTGAATCGGTACCGTATTTTTTATTGTGTAATTGTTTGCTCGTAATACTTTTATTACAACTGGAAATCCGTTGCTCATGTTATTCTTGAAACTTCAGAAATGACCTTTTCCATTTCAAAATGGGAAAGGTCATATTAGTGTATTTCATGTAGCAAGCAGTATTTTTTTGTGTCGCTCATGAATTTTGAATTATTGCTTTTTCCATTTATTCAACCCTTATCAGCACCAAGTTGATCTCGGGTTGGAAAATTATGTGTCCCTGTAATAAATTTGATCGCAAAAATTTTTTTTTTTTACAACAGCGGGTGGACACGACAGCTTGGAAGACGCTTACGCATGTATGAAACTGATGAAGAAAAGGGCGAATGATGATTTGCAGAAAGCAATGCGGAATTGATATTTCCGCGCGCCGGTCTGTTTTACGTTCGTGTGCTGCCTCAATTTTGAATACTTTTTTTTTTTTTGATGTGATCTCAAATGAAATACTTGCTGAAATTAAGAGGAGCGATTCCGGGATTTTTCGTTTCAATATTCTTCTTTTTCTCATGCAAGTGCAAAATATTGACAATATAAAATATCAATCGTGCATCACAGACAGACATGATCATGAGAACAAAGGACAAATTGACTAGATAAGTTTTCGAAAAGCATCAAGCGAGATCCGAAGTTGCAAAAATTCAAGAAGACGATCAATAATGGGAAGAATGACTGTTCCTCAATCAATCATCGGAATCCCAACTTGTCATTGACGAAGCGGTTCCTTTAATAACGACCGAGCGTGGCGTGGGCACGGGTCTAATAGTGGCGAAAGGTGCAGAACTGTTGCTGCACGATGGTTGCATTGATACCCGAGCAACCGATTCATCATCTTCCTCCGAATCACCACCCATTTCTTCTTCTTCTTCTTCCTCCTCCTCCTCCACATCTTCTGCTTCCTCTTCATGTTGAGAAGATTTTCTATCCCTTTCTTGATCATCCAAAAATGACACTGTCTTCTTACCAGACCTTGGAATTGTTGCGGATCTGGCAAAAATTGAACAATATTCATTACTTTCAACACTCGAATCATCTCATCGCCGATTCCTACCCGTCTTTGAATTTGGCGGCTTGAGTTGCGTGAGAAGCCTCGGGCTGTGGCAAGGACAGCGTAGAAGCGGACCTGGCCCACTGGGCCATGTTCAGCAGGCGCTTCGAGCCAACATTCACCCGGTCGTCTCTCTCCCACCAGTGGCCCACTAGTTCGTCACCATCATCCAGACGTCGTCGTATCCTCTCCTCTTCCTTCTTGTTCTTCCTCGGGGTACTTGTGGCAAAAGCCTGTGAATGACACACACAGGAAATCAACACCTCATCTAAATGTTCGTGCGAATATTCAGTCATGCATAAATTAATGCGTCATAATTTGGTGGAAACAGCTCAAATTGAAAACTTTGGATGTAATCGTAGATGAAAAGAAATTCGTGTTTCCAATATAAGCATGTATTGCAAGAATTTTTGTAAGGTTAGGCAGAATTAAGTTAGTGATTCCGGCAACACATGACATAAATTGCATCTGATGACACCTGATTTCCAGAAAAAACGTGGCATTTCAAGATTACAAAATTCAACAAGAGCAAAGCTTGTAAACCATAATTGTGCTTCAACAGATGCCGTAACTTCGAAGTATGTTATGGAGCAATTGAAAAAAAAAATTTCCGAAACGAAGCTCAAATTCATGCCTGCAATTCAACTTTCTTCACTGCTGTAAAAATAATACCGTATTCACTTGAGTACCATACATTTTTTTTCCCCTCAAAATTGAGGGGGAAAAAAGGACGTGAGCACCATCATAGGCAGGAATACATTTTTTCAAAGAGTATTAGAAGCTTACGTGTGCACCATACTGTATTTGATTCTGATTTGAAATTTTGGACCAATAAAAAAACTTATTTTAATGGAAATAATTGAAGATTAATTGAATTTAGGTTCAATTCATGTCCCACTAAAATTTGGGTGGCCAGGTGTTCAAGGTCATTGCAGTTTCAAGGTCACTGAAAGCAGGGTGTGTGTCTTTCTCTGGGATAAAATTCGATCAGTTTTATTTTCAACTTGCTTGAGATAATGCAGTAAATGCGAATTTCCATATTCAGCAGCAAAAAAAACCGCAAAACTTATACAGACACTCAGCTTGGCAATACATATTTTTCCAACTCACTTTTGGAGGATTGGTACCCGAGTGATGAGGGTTAGATTTCAGCGATGGACTCGACTGGGATCTGAATCTCAGTGACCTTCGGATAGATTTGAAAATGGACGCCACTTTCCTTCCGCCTTTTCCTTTCCGCTCCTCTCTTCTGCCATCGTCTTCTTCTTCTTTTTCCACCTTCGATTTCTCCTGTTCTCCTTCAACTCCAGCCGTTGACACAGAAGTAGATGAAGAAGGATGAGGAAGAATAGGAGAGACGTCACTCTGCTGCTGTTGATGGTGATCACCCCATCCAATTTCCTCGTAACTCCTGGTGAGATTTTGTCTCGAAGATGTCAAAGAATCATCAACTGGCAATTGGGCAGGAGGAGGAGGAGGAGGTGACACAACGAGACGCTTGTTTGCGTTCAACAGGCGCAAGTCTGCCTCCTGCTGCTTCAACATGGCTTCTTGGTGTTGCTGACACGTGAGGACTTGCTGCAACACCTGCTCCATTCGCCCATCTGCAAAAAAAAAATCATGCACAAACATCATCTGGTGCTTTTTTTTTTCTCTCAATGAATGATCAAGTGTAGGGGTAATATTGGATGAATCCAAAGCAGCAAAAATGGGGAGACAATCGCACATTTGAAAAGCGTCCAAAACTAGCGATTAACAGAACCTAGAAAAATTGCAATGCATGTGAATGGACATGATTTCCACAAGGCAATATTTGACCACAGTTTCAATTTTTGCCCTCCCATCATGGAAAGAAAACAAGCATTTTAACCTAAACATTCGAAGAAATTATGCTTATCTGACACATCTTCATTACAGATATATTCATGAATGTTTAAGCAGTTCACATGACCATAAACAGTTGGAAGAAAACCGCTTCAAAAAACAAACGTCAAAGATCATATGTGGCAATTCCTGTTAGTCACACTGAAGATGAGGATTGTGATGAAATATCATTTGTGAGGGAAAGTTTTCTTCTGGTCACTGAGTCAGTGTTTCAAAAATTGAAGAAAGACAGGACAAGGTTTTGTCATTGCCCTGACTGTAATTTCAGAGAATTAATTTATAAATAGCGATGAACTAGATTTTTTGAAGTCACTTGCACCACAAGTTGAAGGGCAATAGAAATCTTGGGAGAATCATACCACCCAAGAAAAAGTTAAGCTAGCAGAAGTGAGTGAGTGTAGTTCAAAATCCACTAGTAAGATCAATTTTGATGTTACTAAAAAAAATTTGACTCAGCTTCAATTCAAGACATGGAACAAATGTTGAGTCAAATATTTAATGGGATATGCACTTTGGTATGTCTCCTTGCAAGTGATTGCATCATGTGCAAAAAGTTTTGTCTGGCACTGCAAGTATGTTTGTTGCCTTTGAAAACAAGTTTCATTGTGAAATTTTTGGTTATTTTATGCTGTGCTGATGGGGTTGTGTGATTGCTTTATTTCTATAAAACCTGTCAGAGAAAATATTGTCTTTTGAGAACATACCCAAGCAAAGAGGATGCTTCTACATCTTCCTTCGTAAATTCCTTCTGTCTGAAAGCATTGTATATTTTTTTTACCTATTCAGAGCTGTAATTTATTTACTCAATTTCAGTAAGCACTATTTTTTGGACAGGTTCAACGGGAAAAGTGTAGCATTTTTTTTTCTTCAAAACAACTCACAGACAGGGTTGTCAACAGTAAATCGAGTTTCCTCAATCTTTTTCTGCATCTCCTTCCTGACATCGCCAACCAACTCGGCATCCCGCTCGCCCAATTTCTCCGTCCACCACTTGTGCTGATCCGACACGAGCTTCTGCACTCTGCCAATCTCACAACTCAGCAACTCTCCCATTTGCTCCCTCAAGTCCGTCGCAACTGACTGGATTTTCGAACAGCCGTCCCCGCAAATTGATGTCGATGGTTTTTGCTCCATCTTCGCCGACAATAACCGAGACAACTTCATTTCGAGTTCCGTGGACAGAAGATGACGGAAGTGTTCGGGATCGAATGAAGACGTTGCAGCTGAACTCCGTCTTTCCACGCATTCCCTTTTTGAAAATGTACAAAAGCTTGAAAGGGATCAGTTGAAATTACAGGAAGACAAATATTGGAGCACTGAATTCCGAATTGTTGAAACTCTGTTGGATCTATTTCAAAAAGTCTCAAAACGTCTGAACCATCCCTCGTATATCATGTTCCATGCTTCGATTAAACGCGATTCAAATTCAAGCGAGGGAAAAACTCGAGATACGAATCATCACGACGATGGTGCTTCGCTTACCGACACGGGACAGGAGGGGGAGTAGGAGTAGGAGCAGCAACAGTGGCCCTGAGGCCATCCAGATCCCGTCTCAAGGCCTGCAATTCAGGCAAAATCATCTCAGTGAATCCTCGGGTACTACTGGCTTCTTGTTGCGTGACAGCCAACTTCGATCTCTCAAAGCATTCAGTACAGGCAGGATGTTGTGCTGAGGATTTTTCCATCAGCTCTGTCTGAAAAGAACAAAAAACCAAAGTAAAAATTGAATCATTGGACAATTTAAAAAGCGCGAGAAATTGCCGTGTTTACTCAAATACAGTACCATGCACCCTCAATTACATCATGCACTCAGTCTGAAAACTGAAATTATAATGAAATCATATCCCCACCAAAGACTTGCATCCCATTTTTTTCATTTCCTCCAAAACTTCAATACAGGTGGACTCTCTCCATTACAATCTTTTTTGCAACAATTTTCTCAGCATAAAGAAAATATTTTTGGACACATAGCGTTCTCTCTGTACAATAAAGGAGTTTTCTACAAGAATATTCTCTCTACAATAATTTTCTGGTCCCTTGAAATATCTTGTGGAGAGAATCCGCCTTCATTTCAAAATTTTAAAACACGCAAAATTTGAATCAAGACATAAATTCAGCCTGAGTTCATCTAATTTTAAATTGTTCATACTGTATAAAAATTATTACTTTTCTGTTAAAATTGGTCTAACATTTCCCATTAAAAACAAGTACAATGTACACCTGAACTTCTGAACATTTTTAAAAATGTTTACCCACCTACAATGAAAACCCCATCCCTCTTATTTTGTTTCAATTCTGAGGAAATAAGTTGCGCATGATACTTTCAAAATACAGCACATGCTCCGTAAACATGTGGCAGTTTGCATTAAATGCCTCTGACACTGGAATTTTCTTCTCTTCATCATAGAGATGTTGCATGAATTGTGTCACATGCTGTACAGGTGGTCTCTCTCAACAAAAATTCAAGGAAACAGAAAAAAAAAAGTTTTACAAATAATTTCATTGAAGAAAACCCCTCAAACATCGGAATGAATCCAATGGGATCAAATAATTTTTTTTAAAGGAAACCGGTGCCGACAAGGTTGTTGTACAGAGAGAGTTCACCGGTATTATTATAAAAGAAAGGTCAAATGACATCGGTTAAGTCTTGGTATGCACAACATCAGGTCAGGTCCATTCTCAAAAACCAAAGTAAACGAAATAACACGACATTTTCAAACAATATTGTAGTAAAAAACAAGCACACGCATCAGAAACGCCACCTGCAAACGCTGACGCTCATCCAAGAGACGGTCCTTGTCAGCCTGCAGCCGTCGACAATTGGCAGCCAGGTCGTCGAGTCCAGTGGCCAGGGCGTCCTGAGTGCGCAACAAGTACTCGAGCCCCAACTGAGCGAGTCTAAACAGCTTGAGCAGCGCCTTCAGTCCACCTGGCCCACCTGCTGTCCCAGTCTGGTTCCAGCCGCCGCCGCCGCCGCTGGTGCTACCAACACCAAACTCGGCCTCGGCATCGCAAAAGGTCACGTAGCTCAGGTGGGCCTGCAGCTCGGCCACGTCGCAGAGTCGGGACAGGGCAGCCGGGTCCACCGAGCCCAGCTTGCGCCAGTCCACGCGTTTCGTGCGGGCCCGCGGTTGGAAGACGGCTTCATTCCGACTGCTCGTGCTACGCTCTGCATCGTCGTCATCATCTTCTTCTTCTTTTTCTGCTGCCTTATTCTGCTTCTGTTTTTCCTTGTGGTTTGCTTCTCTTCTGCCACTGGCCCTCCTCGTCAGCGGCTTCATTGTTCACCCCTCTCACAGAACGCGGGAAATATACCTTCCAAGGGGAGTGAGAGAGAGAGAGAATCGATGTCAATGAACATTCATTCAGCTAGTCAATGAAAAGTTCATTCTTTCAGGAAGCACTTATTGTTATTGAACTGCTTCTTCAGTTGCAATTGGAAAACGCTTTACCAGGTTTCGAGTCAATAAGGGATTAAAAATGCCTTTTATACTGTACACATGAATATCCAAATATTCCTATGAAATCCAGAAAAAAAAATGTTAGGCATAAAAATGTTGCTGCCCAGTGAGAAACTCGTTATTAACACAGGGAATTTGCCCAATTGGTCCATCTTGCTGACACAGACGCTCGGTAAGTATAGATGTCACTGCTATAGTCGTTGAAATTGTAAATCAGTCAAGATATAGAGTGATACAATCACTTTTTTCACCCATTTCCAGAAATCAACTTTTTCGGTTTCATAAAAAAGATCCTGGGCATTTTCTCACTGCACAGTACTGTACTTGAAAACATAGCCATTTTGAATGGAGTAAATAAAGCAAAAAAAAAAAGCTCTAAATTTCAAGGACTCGTGATATAATTCGTGGGAAATGCAAGAAAAATCAAAATTAAGCAGTGCTTTAATATTTGCGAACAAACAGGTAAAAAATTATTCCAGTCCAAAGTCAAATTTTTAGGAATCAAAATATTCATACTTCGCAAACCACATGATGTTTTCTTAATGCTTCTCGAAATTCTTTTCATTTTAACCACGGGTTTCACGATGGATACAGCAACCAGCAGTGTAAAAATAAATACTGCATACACTATTGGTAAAATACATAATTTTGCAGGAGTCACTCTAAAGCGAACCGAATTTTAATTCAAGTACAGCCATTATCCAGCTTCAATGGCTACCATGAAAATTACCTTGAATGCGTCACGTGTTATCGAAGAAAATCAATTATACAAAATTATCTATGGAATTGCTAAATCAGTGTCAGCGTGGAAAACGATAATCCACTGCAAGTCAGAAGCAGTTCAGCCAATATTCAAATCGAAAAAAAAACACACTCGGGGATATTATCCTCAAGCAATCTGGCGTTGTCAATATTTCAACCACCTGTTCGCCTCTTCTCGCAATCGTCACATATTTCATAGTCGTTGTCGTCACGATGGCATCAGCAAAGCAAAAAATTGCAAAACAGGAAAAAAAACAGAACATTCCGTCCCAAGCAGCAAAAAATAAATAAATAACAGCTCCGAGTATACTTACGCCTCTTTCTCAAGGCAAAAAAAAACGGAATCCCTAAAAATCTTAATTTGATTCAAAGTCTCATCGTTCCCATCTCAAACACAAGAACATCAGCAGAAGATCGCATATGAGTACGTCGCAGAGAAAAAAATAAATAAAATGACCGCGTCGCGAAAACAAACGTAATCCTTTTCTTTTTTTCCCCCCACTTTCTCTCGGTTTTCTTTGGCCGACGCCTTCGTGTCCTTATCTCTCTCTTGCACATTGAAATGAAAAAAGAGAAACATGGAGGACAGAGAAAAGCAGGGCGTTGATTTTTTTTTAAATCCTCATTTTCCCTCTGGAAAAAGCAACGGAATGCATTTCTCTTTCTCTCTATTTCTAGTCCCCGTCTGAATGACTTGAAAAATTTCTTCTTTTCTTTCCTCCCACACTCCGCGATTATTCAATAAAGGGAAGAAAGCGGAGGAAGATCTAGAAGAAAAGGAAAAAGGAGAGTACATAATTTCGTCGGCCGCATTCTTCGAAGATCAAGAATTTTTTTCCGCGTAAACAATGACGAGTTGATTTCATTTTATTCAATTTCGCGATCGCATTTTCCTCTCAACTGAAATTGAATCGAATTTATTTGTTTTTTTCTCTCTCTCAATTCCCCGGTTAATCATTCAGCAGTTAAGAAAAAAACTCTCATCAAATCAGAAACATGACTAAAACGGAAACGACGTATTTTTCGTCTCACGCTTCACGATTCGGCGATTACGAGAAAATATTCCGAAGCAATCAAGAACTGTACATATCATGAAACGACCCAGAAATATTCTTCGACACCCGTGGAAGAAAAAAAAACCGAACCCTGCAGTAGGTTAAACACAGCCCATATGCCTTCACTTATTGCAACCTTTTATGACTACTCAATCCCCAAAATTCAGCGATTTAAGCCCAGAAAGAAAATTTCATCTCTGCATCACGCAGACATAATTTTTTTTCTAGAAAAAGTTTCGAAAAAAGTTTCATAAATTTTGTTTTGCTGCCTCAGCCATAGAATGAAGAAAATAGCAAGGATTACAGCAGAGAAGAAATTAATTCGTCCTAATTAATTTGAAAAAGCTTTGCTACATTTTGTGATTCGTGCCAGCTTTACTATTTTTTTCTTCTTAGTAATTACTGCAAGTAATTGAAACATTCAGAGAAATTCGACTTGAAAAAATTGTGGAGGCGTAGATGCCACAAAAAATAAATAAATAAATTCTGAAAGTAACGACGAAAGAACAAACGAGGTTGTTTCAAAAAAAGCAGCTTCAAACACACAAACTTCTCCTAATAAACGCACGAGCGAGTGTTTTTTATCACTTTTTCCTCTAGTTTGGAAGCCAGAGAATGTTTTGGATATAAATACTCGACTCAAACACGCCGTAACATGGCCCCCAGCTCGTTTTGCACACAAAAAGGAATACTCGCGAAATGGCAACACGGCGGATCAACAACAAAATATATATCCCACAGCAATTTCCACAATAAAAATGCGTGCGCGTGTATCAGTTCGTTTCTCTCTCACCTTTCTTCATCGACGCGCTGAAAAGTCGGGAGGAAGAAACACAGTCAACTTTTTCGATGCAAGTTAAATTGTTCCCTTTTTTCTCCCTCATTCCCCGCAGTTGGCAATTTTGAGCAAATGGGAAACAAATTTGAAACAAAGATTTTTTTTTTCCCGCTTTTCGAACAGCGAAAACGTATTTTATGCGCCAAGTTTAAACACACAAAGGATGTTCGCAATATTTGAAGGTCATCAAGAATATATGAACGAAAATTATTTTTAAAACTGTAAAAAGCATTGTTTTATAAATTCCCATTCAAAGATATATCCTTCCGCCGATTATTCTTCCTTTCGTTTGCGTTCGGGCATGAAGCGACACTTTCTATAAGCTCTCACAAGATTTTCAGCCGAATTAATCATTTCGAAGTGGGGACCGATTGTTATATCATTGATGTAAAAATTGCAAATATTTCCGATGACGTCAAGTGCCCGAATCTCAAAATTTTGCGACCATCCCTCCCAATTTAGAAGAAAAAAAAAGGAGAAAAGCTGAGTCTTTGCAAGTTTCATCATTCCATACTCGATAAAAAGAAGGCCAACTTCAAAAGCAGAGAAACAGCCTCATGTAAACGGGAGGTTCTTCGGAAGAACGAATGCATCACAACGCGTGGATTTTTTTTTCTCTTGGCCCACAACCGCCTGCCTCTCTTTCTTTTTCGTCATTTTGTGCAGCCCCCCTACACCACCTCTTTTCAATGGCTCACATTTTTTTTTTCAGCAGAAACAAAAAAGAGGCGTCTTGTTACGCGAAATAAGTCTTGGTGAATCTCGTCGTCCACACACTCAAAAAGCAATCTTTGGACCCAATAAATCGCGACAAAAATTTTGTAAGCACGTTTGACTCCACTCGTCCAACTTTTTCCTTTCCCCGCTCCTCCTCTTCTTGACTGGCTCAAAAGACGCGATCGTGTGTACTAGAAATATACTGCAAAATACCTGGATTCCTTCCTTCGAAACAAAAGGAATCAACCATAAATAGGCGAACACGAGACACGATTCCGCGGTAATCGCTCCCCCCCACACACAGTTCTCACCAAGAAAAGCTCGAACACTCCTCGGAAATGAAGCGCTTTTCACGCAACCCTATCCAAAAATTAAATAGACAAATGAAACAAAACAAAAAATTAAACTTTGGACAGCGAGGAATCAGGGGTTCTTGTTTGTCGTAACTGCTCTCAACGAATCCAAAATTTAACCCACGGGCGATGGAGGGTTGTTCAAGAGTGCAAGACAAGACCAGAAAATTGTATTTCACCCAAGGTCACAAAAACATTCGTGGGGGAAAAATCTTTGAAAAGCAAAAGGCCAAAGGGGAGCAGCAACGACAAACAACCAAGAAAAAAAAAAAACTCCAAAGGCACATTTCGCTCAAAAAAAAAGGAATCCTCCTCAGAGTCGGACACTACAGACGAAAAGAAAATTATTTTTAAAATTAAATATCATCATCAATTTAAAAAATACCACCACCACCACCATCACCGCCGCCAGCATCATCATCAATAGGTTTTGTTGAGAGCGATCTGGGCCGCCTTGATGAGTGGGACGAGCGTGTGCGGCGAGGCGGCCTTGTCCAGGAACTTGTGCGTCAGCAAGTCCGACGCCGACGCCCTGTGCTCCACGTCCACGCAGAGACAGAGGTCGAGGAAGTTCTGGAAGTCTGGCGACAACCTGGCCCACGACGAGATGACCGGCCGTCCGTTGGCCGCAATCAAGTACATGGCCCGCAACGGCGATTCGTTCATGTACGGCGGCTCCCCGTCAATCATCTCGATCCCCATGATGCCCAGCGACCAAATGTCGATCTTCCTTCCGTACTGCTTCCGAGTCACGACCTGAAACAGAACAACAAAAAAACCAATAAAATGAATGAAACAAGTCGGCTGTCATCAATCAATCAATCAATATTGACAACAAGGAAAATAAGAATGGGGAGGGAAAGACCACCCTTAACGAGCAAGAGCCACTCTTTGCTCGCCACCTTTCGCATTCTTGCCCCTTTTCGCTCGTTGATCAGTTTCCAGCGTGCGGCAACAGGAACGCCTCTCACGGCCACCCCAACCCATTCCTACCCATCAAGCAAATCGCATCATCACGCAGAAATATTCAACGATCGTCTTGCATTTTCTTTTCTTTCCTTTTTTGCCCCCTGCACGCAAAAACACGAGAGTGTAACAAAAACGAAAAACGTTAAAAAAGAATGAAAACACATGATGCTAGGACAATTTTATTCCTGGCCTCAACATGAAACAAAAGGCGCATTTTCCAGCGAAAACCTAATTTTATTTCTCATTTTTCAGCAACTTAACATTTCCTGCAATAAAAAAGCAAGCTCAACATGATAAAAGTAAATACCGTATCAACTTGAGAACCATACGCGCTTTTTTTTTTAAACAAAAGGGGAAAAAATGAATGCTTGTCATAGACCTGGATTATATTTTTTTCGAAAATTTTAAAGCTTTGGTCCACATCACACTTGTTTCCACCGTGGAATTTTCACTCAATTTTAATTTGAAAAAGGAAATGATGGTCTTAGTCATAAATATTCATTACAATACCGTATACCAATCAGGCTGAAAAATTCAGGTGCACACATCATTTGAGGGGGCGCGGTACTTCAGTAAATCAGTAAATACGGTAACAAACCTACCAGAACTGCTCCAATAAATGTCAAGTTTGCAATAGACAAGGGAAGATTATCTGGTCTCTTGTAGTGGAAGAGTCAAAGAATGGGGTGTGGTAAAATAATTAAAAATTTTTATTGATTTTAATAATTCTTCCCACAATCTAGTCTCAAACACGGAACAAAGAGACCCTTCCCTTTTACCCTTTTCTTATTCAGTCCTGTCTCATTTCCAGTAATCAATGGGAAATCACAGCCCCCCCCCCCCCCCCTACTTCACCAATCTTTCAATTTCCATATTTGCAAATGTTGAAAATAATTGATGGCCCATCGTAAACCATTGCCAGTCTCTATTGAACGCAGGGGGAAACTTGAATACAGTATTTCGAATAAATGCCGTATCATTGGAGCATATATACTAATTATGCCTTATTCAGGTAGGTTCAGACAACTTGCAGGCATGTATTTCAAAGGAAACTTCCATTTTTCTCTCGTTTGAAAGCTTCAGAAATAATTCGTTAACGATTATGAGAAACCGTGGTTAGATCCCAAGGTTTTTTCTTCAACTTTAATCATGAGATAACGAGGGAATACTAGTCAAGTACAGTACTGCTGCTGGTCTAGCTATCAGCATTTCTCTCACTGGATATTTTCCACGCTATTGACAAAAATCAAAGCCGTTGGAAATGATTTATGAATATTTTTAAAAGTTATGAAACATCAAGATTTTCACACAAAGAGCACAGAAAAAAAGAACACTCACTTCGGGCGCCATCCAAAATGGGGTGCCGACCACTGTTTGTCGTTTTTGGTCTCCCTGAATGTTGGCGCAGAAGCCAAAATCTGTAACTTTCACCGTGCCGTCCATGCCGAGCAGCACATTGTCTGACTTTATGTCTCTATGTATTACGCCCTATTTGACACACGAAAATTACAGGAGGATTCCTTTTTTTTAGAAACACACTCGTGACTTACTCTGCTATGAAGAAAGTTGACGGCCTGAAGAACTTCGTGACAAACTATCGCAATCTGCGCCTCTGTCATGATTGTCTCCATGACCACGTCGGTAAGTGGGCCACCTTCCAGCAATTCCATCACAACCTGGAAGAGAAGAAACAAAAATATTACACTTACTGCGAAAAAACGTCAAGCATGAGAAGTGAGTGTCTTTACCCATAAGTGGTCCGAAATAAAGTATGAATCGAGAAAGTTGACTAGGTTTCGGTGTTGCATCTCCTTCATGACTTTTAGTTCCGTGAGGATCAGGTCTTTCTTCACCTGTCGCCTCATGTCAATTTCCTTCACGGCAACTTTCCTGCCTTTGTTGACCATGTCATGCACAATCCACACAGTTCCTGAAGCTCTGTGAAAGAGAAATACTGTAGCACCGACAATCAAAGGTTACTATTGTACATCAACAATCCCACATGCAGAGAATTACATGAAATTGTAATTGGCGATATTCTGGGCCCTGAATAGCTTTTTATTTGAGTTCGCAGGATGCTGAAATAGGAGGCTGGGTTCAAATTAGTCTTTCACTTCCTTTCAAAACACATTTTTAATGCTCTTTCCTGTGTCAATAAAATAATTGGCAAAAGGCCACCAGAAAATTCAAGTTCCAAAGCTTTGAGGGGGAAATCTGTCAAGTTAGGAAGGTTTTGAATGCATTGTTTCTGAAGGAATTCCAACAGGGAGTTGAAAACAATTTGACATAGGGAGGTTTGAGTCAATGAGTTTCAACTTTAGATCGTCTATTATTAAGGCCGCAGCTTCTCCACAGATAGACCAAGTGTCGATATTCCCGAAGACACCTCAAAAAAAAAAATCCATCACAAAATAAGTGAGAAAATCATTTAAAAAAACATTTGACATTTCAACAAAATGTCAACGACGGTCAACGTTCTAGAATTGCAGTGTCATGAACGTTAAAAACTTAGCACCGGCCTTATCAAAAGTCAAAAGAAAAACGAATGATTCCGCAAACTGATGCTTTGTCAGGAGAAGAATGCACTCAGATTAAGAAATGTAAAGAGCATTCCTGAAATAAGCGTTTCCAAGAACTTTGAAAATGATACCATCCAGAGCAAAGCAAATGAGTCAAAATTTTGACTCGAAGAACAACAATTCGTCGCTGAGTGAAATCTCTACAGGTTGCCTTTCTCCCCCAATTCCCACACTCACTTTTCGTGCCCTGCGCTTTTTTTTTCCTATCATTCTTAACATCGAAATACAGCGTAAAATTGGCTAAATGATCACCGATTGCGATAAGACATTTTGGAGAGTAAATTTACCCTGCTCCAGCTTCTCGAATTTTGCGAAACCTCTTGTTCGGATCACCAGGAGAACAGACACGGACTAGCTCTTCTTGAATGGACGCATCAGAAAGTCGGCTGTAACGCAAGTCTGAGGGTTTCTTTTTGTGTCTCAAAATGGTCTCGTCAGTAATTCGGAGGTCCTGATTAGTCGGTGGCACAGGGGCAGGATGCTGTCCGTTTTGCCCGCCGGTATTATTCATGCGAACGGACTGTCCAATCACTCGTTTCGGCGGAAGATCTGGACGGCTGTCGTTAACGGGTCGCGTTACAGCAGTCATGGGTATCTAAACACGAGAAACGTCTTCGTGAAGCCACAATCTCACGAGATGATCGTTTCTTTCATTTTCAAACTTACTGGCTTCTCGGAAAATGTGCCTTTCAGGGGGAACCCAGTTTCTTTCTCTGAACTTGTGTTTTCGTCATCACTCACATCTTTGGCGCTGATCGGAGGGGTCTTCGTCGGCTTCCCTGAATTTTGAAAGCATATCTAACATTGATACTGTAGTACAAGAGCGGAGATTCAGAAATTCTACCTAGTTCAGAAAAGTTCACATGACGAATATCCTCCGTTTCTCTTTGTACGGAGTCCTCCGTTATGAGAGGCTTGATATCTCCTTCCGCTTTCTTTTTCGAAGCCTCAAGGTAACAATAATACTTCATCGCCTGAAGAACAATCGCAGGATTTTCTTTCTGATCCGAAACGCTAAAAAACAAAGCGGGACGAGTGAAACGCGAATGTTGAGAATCAAAGAAACAAAAACAAATACCTGATATTGTTTATTTCCAACAGTCTCCTCCATGGTTCTGGAAGCCCTTCTAATTCTCCAGTGACGCTTACGACGACATGAATGTCATGCGAAACGTTTGTTGGAGTTGATATTTCGGAGGGGCCAGACCTCTCATCTTCCGGGAATTTCTGGTGACCTTTCAAGAGCTTGCTTAAAAACCTGGACATCCTGATTTGTAACTCTCTATGCTTCAGAAGCTTCAGTTCGGGTAAACTCCGAGTGAATCTTCCGCGCTCACTACGCCTGCTTATAACAAAACTAGATCATTTTCTCTGTGTCACAAGAAAAGAGGACGCGAAAAAATTACACCATCATCAATGAATCACACTTTCAACACTTTCGCAAAACGTGAAAAAAAATATGGAAAACTTGTGAATTTTCTCACAAAATCAGATAAAATCTATACGAAGAAACGACCATCTCGATCACCGATTTCCTACAATTGAAGACCTTGACCAGTCCATACTACAGAAGGGTAATATGAAAACTGTGGACACTTACAAAAGCAGCCTTCGTCGGGAGAAACACAACGCAGTCGCAGGAATTTTTACTGAACACTTCCCGACATCCATCGCTCGATCATGTCCATTTTTAAAACCCGAAGAAAATCTAGGAAAAATGATGAAGGATATCCACAAGCGTCAAAGCAGTCGTGAGAAGTTTACACACGCACAAAGCAGTCACGACTTGAAATTGGAATTACTGAACTATTGAAGGCAAAAGCGATGATCTTGGATTGAGAGGTAACAATGAGACACCCATCTCAGAAGATCCTTCCCGGAGAAAATAAGCCACATAGCGATCAAAATATTCCCATGGTAGGTCTTCCTGCAAGGTTAGGGTGAAAGTTACATGGAAGGTGAGACATTTGCAATATCTTTCAATTAATTGATGCCAACGACGGAATTTTTCTCACTCTCCGAAATCCTCGTATCACTTGATCATAGGTTTTCTTATCATACACAACCTATTAGCTCCTGTATAATGAGGACAGGAATGATCATATTGTGCTGTACTGCGTCACAATGCAGCTATAATCTAACACATAACGTCATTAAAGTTCTCTTGACTGTTCCTGACAATGATAATGAATGGCACTGAATAGACAGGAGACTCAAGCTCTTGACCGATCATCTTATCCCTGCTCTGACCTTTTTGTGTTCTGTTTATTGACTCAGTGTGAAAGTAATAGATGTCGTGTTCATGAAGAAAGCTCTGCCTTCATTCTCATTCCTTATCGAATGGCCATGCGTCAGCTTTGAAAACTCCATTTAACAAAATTGACCTTGTTCAGCGAAGGCGTGAGCGGACATTATTTTCACCTTTACTGTGTCGGTGTCGTTCAATTTCCCCGCCGAAAAGTTATTGAGCTGAAGCGAACTTCTGGGGGAGCAGTTGGTTCGACAACTGGATGGAAGGGCAGGGAACGCGTGCTCCGATGGGAGCGACACCTAACTTTTGTTTTAGCAACAACTGTACAAGTACAAGCTGCCCACCGGATCCGGACGCACGCTGAGGAGTGAGGCAGAGCGGATGAGGAGCGGTGGCAGGCAGGAGGAGGAAGATCATTCAAGTCCTATCCTTCCAGCTGTCGACATTGCGTCTCTTATTCTATTTATCAGCTGACTCCTTCCTGGGTGTTGTGTTGCTGTGTGTGTCGTCGTGGAAGGAGAATAGGACTTCATTTCGTCGTCAAGGGTCGCCGTTTTATTCCATAAAATTTTACTGAACGAATGACTTGATCTATGTTTATTTTGTGTTGGTGTTGCTGAACTTCGCCGTCATAAAGCTGACATTGTGGCGTGATTGCTGAGTCGAAGTTACTACTCGGGAAACTTCATTGCGCTGAAGAGGTCTAGCTCGATCAATGAAACTGTAAACTTCCTGTGAATCCCATTTTGCAGGTACATTGCTTCGTTCTGTGCTTGACGGTGTGTGCCATTCATGGCAAGTTCTGTGTTGCTTAGCCACGTGCGAAGTGTGGAGTTAGTTTTTCTTCGAGCGGTTACCTTGACATCGACTCTGTCGCGTTTCAGATTCGAGTGATCATGAAACCGTGCCACATGCGACAGTTCTTGTCTCGTAAGATTTTGATCACTCGAGCAGTACATCCGACACCTTCCATGTGCCAGTTATGGCCTACAAAATCCACTGTGTGTCTGCATTATGCGTAGTCATATCTAGTGCTGTGACGAGCCTTTCGTGTTCCTCTACGTTCGATGCTGCCAGTATGCTATTATTTGTTCCCTCGATTGGAGCAAAAGTCGTAACACTTCCATTTTTCATTGTTGTAGCCTTGGATCCATTAGGACTTTTATACCGTCGTCCGGGAGACAATCTCACGGTGACCTGCGTAGCAAACTTCTCTCACTCAAAGTTTTTGGATCCCCAACGATATGGCCCAGAAGACTTGGTGTTCACGCGCTTTCAGCAAAGTTTAGAAAGTGGGCATTTGCCGTCACACGTACTCAACGATTCATCCATTCAGACTGTACTGCCTAATTTAACGTGGAGTGATGCTGCCCGTTATGTGTGTAAGCTCAAAAGTCATGATGGCAAAACCAAATCGCTATGTTCATCGCAGCTTTTCATTGGCCGTAAGTATCATTTTCTCAAAGCAACTTTGAGAATTGAATTATTATCTAAGGTTCTGTATAATCAACATTATGTTTCCTTGCAGTGGATCCTCAGCCTTTGTTGGAGTTTCGGTGTATCTCCATGGGTCTAGAAACGTTAGCGTGTTCCTGGGTTGTGCCACCCTTGGTGATCTATAACACAGTTTACGAAGTCGGTTATCGCATTTACAACGACTCTCGAGCGATGTAAGTGTACCAAATAATTTAGCCCAATGTGATTTTAAAGTGAAAAGCAGTTGCCATAATTTTTTCCCGTCTCTTTGGTGCGACCCAGATACTATGGATGTGAAAAGATGACGAGGTCCGTGTTGTCAGGACCTAACCGATTCAATTGCACGTTCAACGCGTCAAAATGCATCTTCAACAGCGAAACCCTGTATTTCTTCATAGAGGCGTCGAGTCCGTTGAACGAAACTTTCACTCAGTTACCAGTTGTAGAGTTTCACAACTTCAGAAACGTCCGTCCCCATCCCCCGGAAAAGTTACGCGTTTTGGAAATTGGTCAACGCAATGCTTCGATTTTGTGGGAAATCAAAGACAAGCTCATCAATCTGATGGACGCCAATGGCTTGTTTCACGAGATAAGTCTCACTTCGGACTTCGAGGAAGACTGGGTGAGTTATTTTATCGTTTGTTTTCAAAAATTATTTACGCGTATGTTAAACGCAATTATTTTTACGCATTGACTCACGTATACTGTATGTTTTTATGAATTTTCAGATAGAACCGCACAATTAATCAAATCGAGGTACCGCATTTATTAAAATACCATGTGCACGTTTTACTCAAAATTGAAACGAGAACGTGTCGTAGGTGAATACAAATGTTTATAAATTTATCGGTGTGAATATACAGTAGTTAATTCTTGAGGCAAACTTTGGACCAATTAACTTAAAAGCCTTTTTTTTTTGAAAAATTTAAAACAGTTGAATCCCGGTTATTTACGTCTGAATTCAAATTTGGCCAATTTTATTTTTGAAATATTTTAGTTTTAGATGAGAAAAAAGTTGGGAGCTATCCTAGTTGGGGGGGGGGGGGACCCGGACTACTAGCTCCATCTTCAAAAAACAGTGCGTACTCCCTTCCAGGTGCGCTCAGCCCTTGTACACTCCATTTCTCCAACAGCTCTGCTGTGCTGCCGGTGAGGTACGCTAATCCTCAGCCTTGCCAAATCCAACTGTGCATTTGAATTGACACTGGCACTGTTATTTCTGATTCTGCTGAGACTGAATTTGGGGGGCGGTTAGGTCAGGTTATGTCAGTAGAAAATATTTCAGCCATACATTTTAAAATGTGTTCATTGAAAATATTTTAGGTAACACAACCTGACCTGAGTTTTCTGCAAAAACTGACTTCAGGGGGCAGTTAGGTGAAGGTAGATTAGGTCAGGTTATGTTAGTTGAAAATATTTCAACTATGGATTTTATATGTTCATTACAAATATTTTAATTAACATTAATACATATTTTAACTAACATAACCTAACTTCACCTAACCGCCCCCCAAATTCAGTCTCAGCAGAACACCAATAAAACAGTGCAAGCGTCAATTCACTTTGAGTCAATAATGAATTTGAATTGAGAGTAAAACGAACTGATGGTAAGGCTGACGATAGCGTACCACAGGATCAACAGAACAGGGTTGTGGAATGGTTGGAGTGTGTCCGCCAAGAACGTTCCGTGTGCCGTTCTTAGCGAAATCTATATAGACGTAGTTTTGTGCTTGGGTCCCCCCCAACTAGTATAGCTCCAAAAGTTGGGTGTGCGTCTCACTGAGGGGTATGATTTTATCAAAATTTTAGACTAAAAAACCTGGTTGTGCGTGTTACTCAAGTAAATACGATATTAATCGAATTTATTCTATAGTTCTCCACTGTTGATCATGGGAAGAATCAGGAATAACTTCTCAACAGGAAGCAAAATCCGCGTACTTCAATAATTTGTTTGGCGATGATTCTCAGATTTTGATGTGCATTCTTACAAGTTACAACTGCAAGCGAATTTTTTTCATCGTGTACTTCAAGTCTATAAGAAATGCATTTCTTGAATCAGCAAAAAATGATTGACGATTGATCATGTTTCATTAGTTGTGAGTAAGACGCAGTCATGTAGTAGTTGTATCAATTTCTGTGTTCTCAGGATTTCGAACGAGTCGAGACGACATTGGAGAACTTGAAGGGCCTGAGTGTGGTGCACACGCTTACCAACTTGAGTCATCCATTCGCCAAGTACAAAGTGAAGGTGCGGTCAGTGTGTGGCCTAGCCGAGGCCGAGGATTTGTGGTCCGGCTATTCCGACGAAATGGAGTTCACGACGCTGCCAGATGTGCCCGGAGAGGCGCCGGTGGTGCCCGAAGGTGCTTACTACTTTGACAAAGACGACGGTGCTTCGACAATCTACTGGGAAAAGGTGTCCATGTCCCAGTGGAATGGCCCGAATTTCACCTACGTCGTCGATTTTGTGCGTTCTTTTGTTTTTTTTTTTATTGAATGCATTTTGCAATAGTGTGTCATCATCCCCAGTCAGTTTTGTAAAATTGGGCTTACTGTTGTGCGTCGAATTGTGTCCCTTTCGTTTAGTCATCTGAGTGCTGATTCCGTGCCGAGAATGTGAATTGGAACTTTGAGTTATGACATTACCGATGATAATTTTCAAGTTGAGAACCGGTTTTTTACCCGGAATTCCACCAAAAGGTAAAACTCTTTTGTCTGTTCGCAGTCTTTGAACTGATGAAATGCTTCTGCCCCTATGTCAAAAATAAGCCAAAAATGTCAAGGATTCGACCAAAAATGTGTTCGAACGAATGATATGTTGTACTGTAGTAGATGACGTGCTACTTCAAAACACTCTTATTCGCTATTTTTGTACATCACTTGATGGAACTCGAATTTTTCGAGCGCAGAGTGACGGTATGACTCAAAAACGGATCGAGACGAGCGGGGATAGTTTCGTGGCGAAGCTCGGAGGGTCTTCATACTCACGCGCCCTAAACTTTTCCGTCTCGGCCAAAAACAGCGTCGGAATGTTGCGAGGACCAGTTGTGCACGTACCGGTTTGGCGCCACGGTAGTTTGCAAAAAAAGGTTTTATAAGGGTTTATTGAAAACTGATTACTTTTTTTCATTCAAGGTCACGTGAAGGTGAAGGTGGAGAAATCGAAACCTGGGTCTTACCGCCTTTCTTGGACCCCCTTGGACTTTATGGAGCCTGTCCACAAATACACGATATTCTACTGCGAGAAGAAGCCTGCTGACGAGCACAACCAGAAGTGCAAAGTGGGTTGTTTGATTAGTCGTGTGTTTTTTTAAATTTTATTTTCAAGATTGATTATTTAAATCGAAGTTGAACTTCAAGGGGCCCGCAAAAATTGCAATAGTGGAGTTTTCCAGTTGGGGAAACAATCCTCTCTATTCGGGAGAGAACAAAGAAACACAGGAAATTGTTATTGTTGATATTTTGGGCCTTGAATTGTTCCTTAAATGAGTTGACAGGGTGTATAACCTGGAGGCAAGGATTTATTTGCCCAATTAATCTTTTACTTCATTTCAAAGCACATCAAGTTACATTTTTCATTGCTTTTCTCTTTCCTGTGTCAAGAAAATAAAAGCCGGAAGAAAATTCGAGTTATTGTGGCTTGAGGGGAAAACTTCGAGTTGGAAAGGTTTTCAATGAATTGTTTCTAAGTGAATTCAGACAAGGACTTGACAAAATCCGACATGGGGAGGTTGAAGTTATCAAGGTTCAACTGTATCAATTTTCCGTAGACGCAGCCACAGAGGAAAACCGTGAATGGATCTGTGACGTCGGACACTATCACCTTATCTGAAGACCAGTTCTACTTATTCAGCCTCAATAGTCACTCGGCATCAGGCTCGAGTCCACTGGTGTGGTTCACTATCAATGGCGAGGAGGCGGATAGTGAGTTTTCTGTCGTGTGTCGTATTAGCGCGAATATAAAAAATTCTTATTACGAGTCGCCCCTCTTTTTTCCTCCCGCTGTCCTGGAATTGAATAATCTTGCTTTCACTGTCACTTGTCCCACTCGAAATTCTGAAATTGTAATATTTATTGGTTGAGGGGCGGTTGGAAAGTGAACCGATTATCGAATAAACAGTACTGTACAGTATTTCAAAGATTTCAAGTATTCAGAAGCTTGTGACAGACAAAGTTGAAAAAATGCGTTTTTACTGCGTTCAAAGATTAAAATGGTGAGTGTTTTTTTCTTCTTCATTTTTGCCTGTCCGATCATGCGTTGAAATGGTCAGGTGAGAAAGGTTGAGACTGCTGCCATTGATTTCCAAACGTACGAATTTGAGGCGGAAAGAAATATTTTTAGTGAATGAAAAATTTCATTTTTCAATTCGTTATGGGCAAACATTTAGGATATCCTGTTTAATTATGCATTGATTACTCTGTAGGTGGAGGTTCGCCGACTGTGTGGATCGTAGTGGGGTCAGTGCTGCTCATGGCTTCGCTGGTTACCTCCATTCCAGGACTCAATTGGTAAGTAATTTTTGTGTGTGTGTCGTGCACTTCGTCTGTTTTCTTCTCATTGCATTTCAGTTTCAATCCAACCCTTAAATCTAATTTTTTTTGCCGATTGCTGAGTCATGCGTCAATAGTTTAAATTGGATTGAGGAGAGCCGTCCTGATGTTCACGCGAATCAATTTATTTTTATTTTTTTTAGGGCAATGAGGAAATACAAGGTGATAACGTCTGTAAAGATCAACGTGCCGACGATCAGCGAAGAAGGAGGAGGAAGTCCGGGCAATGACTTGTGGCCTGACAAGCACGTGCCGGTGAGTTTTTGAACCATCGAAATTTTGGCTCATTCATGTATGAAACCTTGTAATTGTGTGTGTGTGTGTGTGTTACCTCGTTTTAGTTTTCGAGCGACGGACCCCCGTTGCCAACATTGGTGCTTGCTGGTGGCCGGAAGCCGAGCGGCGGATTTGTTCCTCCGGATTTCTTCAAATCAGTAAGTTTTTCCCCTCAAAATGCAAAAATCGTAAGTTTGACGTGGAAGTGCTGAATTGCGTCGAAGGGGGAAATGACTATGCATGGATTCATATACAGTAGTAAAATCTCGTTACAACGAACTCCTGGGACCTGAGGGAAATTCGTTGTAACGAGATTCATGCTTATTTGAGCATGTATTGTTGAAGTTTTGTATAAAATGGGTAATAATTTACTTGTAGTATTTCCACAACAGATTTTTGAGGAATTGCCCACATTTCCAGCTTCTTTTAATTAAATAATCGAGGAAATTCGATTTGTGAAATAAAATATTCTCTTATTCTAGGCCTCTTGAATTTTCTAAAATTTTACTGATCTTGTTAAAGTATAAGCTGGAACGAAAAGAAAATGCACGTGTAAGAAGAGCATTTATTCAATATGATGTATAAGAACTGGGTGTTCCCTGAAATGAAGCAGTATCCCTCCAAACATACTTTTCTTTCAAAAAAATTAGCCATTTCTGAATTCTGAAATGAAACTAAATAAATTTCGATTATAGCTTCACGCTTCCTGGAATGCCACATTTTCTGTACAAAACGATATACATGTAACATGTTTGGAAGGCTTTTCAATTATGCTCAAATTGGGTTTTCCCATGTAGTGCCAAGTAGTAAAAATATCCATGTCAAATGCACACATATCGAGGCGAAAATTCGTTACACAGTATTCCGATGAAATGGGAAAATTTGTCTTATTTAATGACATTTTTAAATATATTTTTCCGACACTGTCGAGACCTAGAACAAATTCGTTGTATTCATTCTGTCAGTGTTACGGACAAAGTATGGAAATTAAGAACTGCTCAGGGGCTTTCTGAAACCCGGAGATTTAACAAAAAAGTGTCGTGTAGATAATTATTATGGAAGATGTTTTTATTAGGATTCGCAGCCTCGCTCCTGAAAACACTTGATGTACAAATCAGTTGTATCATAAACAGATTTATATCCGATTCGCTTCACGTTTCTCTTTTCCGAGAAATGAATGTTCTTTATATTTATTTTTTTAGGACATGCATGCGTATGCGTTTATTGACTCTCCGGGAAAAGAACCCGACGCCTTGTTTAATGGGGAAGCCAAAGACGGAGACGACACGTTGGATGTGACAGACTTGACACTCTCAGAAGACGCCGAGTCGATGATGTCTGAAACGAATGTCACTCCAGTGACGCCAGGCTATGTGGAAGTGGGCATCGATAAAGACGCGGGTCAGCGAGAAAAGCATCGTCTGCAGTACGTCGTCGTTGTCGACGACCGGATAGAGAAATCAGGCGTCCGACACGAAGAAGAGGAGGAAGTTGACGGTGGCAGTGATGCGAGAAGTAGACACCGGGCGCCGTCAGAGTCCGAGTCTGGTTACTCGGGAGATGACGCGGGAAAAGATTCGCCTCCGCCGACGACGACGGCAATAGAATTGGGCTACGTGACGACGTAGCCCAACGTGACGAGCCGTCGTTGTCGTTCCACCTCGGGTCTCCGACTACGTCCTGTCGTTTTAATGCCGCTTTTGATTTTGAATCGCCGTGCCACGATTTATTTATTCATTTTTGTTTCGGTTCGCATGAAGAAAAAAACGAGTGTGTGCGAAGAAAAGTAAAAAAAAAGGTTTGAAGGTACAGTATTAAAAAAAAAAAATTTCGACGAGAAAGGACGACGTCAGGAAGAGCTGCTCAACTCTCGATTTTTCTTAATTCTGGAGGAAACGATTTGATTTTTACTCGCGGATCTATTCAAAGTATTTTTGCGCTCAACTCGAGAAAGAAATGTCGATCCGCTCACTGTTTTCTTCATGTATTCTCACTGTGATTTTACGTCGAAAGAAAAGCATTCCTGTTTGCCAAGGGCCTCCGGAAGGTTCAGGACTACTCTAACCGGGATGATTCCATCCGTTTTTTCCATGGTAAAAGTTCGTAAAATTGTCGCGGTTTTTTGTTGTGTTCAAGAAAAAAAGGACGTGTCTTCGCTTTTGAGTTTTTTGTGGAAGATATTTGAACGAAAATTTAGTGAGAAAAACGGTGCTCAAGTGGGTTCTCTTGGTGGAAATGTGCCTGTGGAGCGACGATTTGTTTTTTGTTTTTTTGGAGCAAGGAAGTACCTGTTCTGTGATTATTATTATTTTTTTACTTGACGGTCATGTTGTTAAGTCTTTCGTGGTGGCGACACTAGTAATTGGTGTGTGATTTCTATGCGAATGACTCCGTGCGTGAAGTCGAGTCTCACGCACGCACATTTCCGCGGGATCTGAAGCAATAATCTGCGTTCGAACGAGTGCGAAACTCGTTTCTGGTTCTCTGACGCTTTTCCTCGCGAAATTCGAACTAAGATAGAAGCAAGCAATCAACGAACCTCATCTTCTTAGGGATTTTTATTTTTTAAAGAACTGTAATTCACGAGTTTATGAGCTTAAATGGAGGAACATTACAGTGCTTATTCGTGTTGAAGGATTTTCACCGACAATGTCTTTTTGCGTTTTTATTCACTGTTTATTGATCTGTAAGTAAATTTATTTATATCTATCTATATAGCGAAGGTGAAGTAGAGATACGATTTGAAGCCTCGAATCTACGGGGAAAATCAGGAAGACATTTAAAATCAAGAAAGCTATCTGTTGCTCAATAAATGTCAAAATTTTTACAATTCGCTTGAAATTTCTCGTAAGTATTTTTCATCAGAGCTCAATGGGTTCTTCTTGTGGGCTCATTTTCTTGGGAATTTCAAATTTTTTGTTAATGGGGAAACTCGATCACTGACAACAATTTCCACATGACCCACATAAATTTTGTTTTTTTTCGTGATCCTTAGAAAATCATGAGATGTAATTAACCAATAATAAGTTTCTGAAGAGATATTTCATTCGTATTTAATGACAATTTTTAAGGGATTCGCGAGTATTTCGAAGAAACCCTTACAAATCTTGAGACTGGGGATTTTTTAAATTCTGAATGTACTCAACGCGAAGCTTGTCCAGTGGTTTTTTTTTTCTATTTTGTGAATTCGAGGAGGTATTGGAAGCAATTGAAAGTGCCTTTGGAAGAAACTCATTTGACCAGTCCGTTTGAAGGCTTTGCTGCGCTGTGAGAAATTGCCGAGTGGGTTGTGAAACTCTTTACGATGATACGTGTCCACGTGACTTTTCCCCTCGTTTCTGATGGAAGAAACATTGGTCGTGAAAACATTTTGATTTTTCCAACTTTTTTCATGTTTTGATATTTTGCCGTAGCGGAAAAATATTCCTTTGAGCGAAATTTTTTTTTCTTTTCCTTTGATTCTCTGCCCTCTAAAGTAATCAAGGGATTACATTTCGTATGGCACTATTATTTCCGAAACCTGAGATTATATGCGAATTCATTTTTAACATTACCGTCAGCTTTCGCTGTGAACTTCCGTTTTCTGCAAGATTTCCATGAAAGGATTATTTTGTCGTGCTTTTTTCCGATGAAAATCGATAGCAAGTTTTTTTTTTTCCTGACGCCTTGAAACGCACTTGAAGCATGGTGTTTGTTTCAGTTTTATTTCACCTGATGAAGTCTTTTTTTATTGGTTGCTGAAAGTTGAGGATAACCTTGATCTGACAAGTTACGTTTTGGGTTTGGAATCTACCGTCGGAATTATTTGAATTATTGTTCAATCTGAAAAATCGCGAGCGTGCTTCTTTGGATTTTTTTTTTATGAGACCAAACAGATTTTTCCGACGAACTCCATCATCCCGATCTTGTGTCGCTTTTGTTTCACCTCACTCGGAAATACGGAAGATACATTTGAAGAAAGAGGAGGACAAAAAATTGTCTTGTGATCGATGTGAAGAATTCCATTTTATTCCTTTGCGAATTGTCGTCGTTGTGTGCGTTGACTGTTGTTAACTTTTAAATCATTTGACGCTGTGTCAGGGTGATGAAGTGATGACCACCTGATGGAATTGGTGTACTCGGTGTCTGCGGGACGTGCTGCCGAAGCAGCAGCATCGGCGTGCAAAAGGCGAGTTGAATCGCTCATTTTTGAAATAATTTTTTTCGTGTCCATCATCATCATCATTTTGTTGTTGTGGGATTTTATTTGGCAGGGCTGCGTTGGGGAGATGCGCGGTGTCCGTGAAGAACGTCTTGGGGATCGTGGCGGCGACGGATCTCGGCTGCCATTCGGTGATGGTGTGCGATCTCAACACCCCTTGGGACATGCACGAGTGAGTCTTATTTTATTTTTATTATTTTTTTAATCTAGGAGCAAGAATTTTGACGTGAAAATTAATTTTTGTGCGCGATGATTTCTCCGTCGTCAGGGTGGCCCGACTTCCGTGCTACGGCGTGTTGCTCGCTTGGAGTCCATGTGGCACGTGGCTGTCCTGCGCCGACGCCTGGGGCCACGTGCGGGTCTGGGGACGTCGGGACCATTCCCTCAACTCTTGGCAGGAGCTGCACTGCGTCAATTACGTGCAGGAGGCCGTCGTGGCCCTGGGCTGGCTCCACAATGGCCGCAAGCTCGTGACGTCGCTGGAGCAGCTGCAACACCAGTCCTCGTCGTGGAACAGTCGGTCGTATCAGGAGAAGTTTGTGAGCCAGGGTCTGGGGCCGACGTTGCGGCAGAGTGGCGGATGTCACTTGGACGGCGCCATGTTCATCACTTCGGCGGGCCGTGTGGTGACGCTCACGCTCCCTCTGGACCTGGTACAGGGCGAGGTGCTGTCTGAGTCGCTGCATCCCGCGCCGGCTGCTGCTCTCACTGACAAGCTTGTCGACTGGACGTGTCTCAGGAGTGAGTGGCATTGTCTGGCTTTGCCCTGGCCCTGTAGAACGATGAGGAATTACGTGCCTATTTTCTTCCCCTTGCTCCATATTTTTTTATGAAGAGGTTAAAAAAATCACCTCACTTGATCGACTGGAAAAAAAAAAAATGTTGAGCAATATGCCTAAAAATCGATGACACCATAGATTGTTCGTTTTATTTTTTTAATTTAAAGATATCTACAGATTTTATTTTTTTGTACGTCTTTATCTTTTGAACAAATTGAGCTATTTATATTCCAAAAAATTATAAACTAAATAAAGTGTGATTTTCTGCTGTCCAGTTATTTTTTCTACTCTATGTTGGCTGAGGAAAAAATGTATTCAATTTCTGGGGACTTTATTCCTAATTTTTGATGAACAGGGGAACCAAGGAAATATGTTTAATGAATGCTTATGGGAAAATGTGATTCGACATAGGGACAAGGCTCAAGAACAAATTGAGTCCGCATCTCGATGCCCCCACAAAATTCGCCTCTGAGTCACAAGGTTGTAAAATTTTATGAAAAGATGAGAAAATCGGCTCTTTAAGAACCTGTCCCTATTCTATTTATTTCTTTACTGAAGAAACCCAGTACTTGCATAGATGTATTAGAATTTGGACGGAGAGATTCTCAACTTCTTTGCCTTCTTTTTTTTTCTTCGTAACCGACGCAGATGGCGGCTTTCTCGTGGCGACGGCAAGTCCTTTCGGCGACTCTGTGGACCTGCGTGTGGTGCGCTACACGTCAACACGTGGGGACATGCGGCAGTCGTGCGAGTTCGCGGGGCGGTGTCGAGTGGTGCCGTCGTCGTCGTCTTCATCATCACCATCATCGGATGGCGGCAGTGTCCGTCGAGGCGTCGCGTGCTTGCGGTTTCTCGGCCGCGAAGACGCCCGAACGCTGCTGGTGCAAATCAGTTCGGAATCTAGTAGTAAAAGCAGCAGCAGCAACGATGTCGACGACGACGAAGTTTTGTCGTTGGAGCTGGACTTGCGTTACGGCAGCGGGCCCGGGTCGGCTGTGGGCCTCTGCCCGCCGTCTCTGGCCCGGCTTTTCGTGCAGGGCCACCACCACCACGGGGCAGCCGGGCGGGGTAGTCGGAAGCGACGACGCAGCGAGACGGATCCGTTGTTTGGAGACGACTTGGTCGCCGAGCTGGACTTGGACAATGACGACGACCGCGGCGGCATCGGCGTGGACGAGGAAGACGACTTTGATTTCGACGACGACGATGACGAAGAGGACGATGACGAGGACGACGGAGACGGTGGTCAGGGCGACGAGCTGGAACGAGAGGAGCAGATCGTCGGCGGCGACGGAGACCAGGACAGTAAGACTGGGTTCAAGAAGGCGACGAGGAAGAACAACAACAACAACAACCGTCGACGGCGACGGCGTCGCCTCATGGGACTGGGTCTGTTTCGAAGTCGAGCTAGAGGTCGTGGCGGTCGGTGTTCTCGCGGCGGACGCGGAGTCGCCGGAACGGATGAAGTGAGCGTCACGGGGTCTGTCGGGGGTCGTTGGAGCCCCGGCGGTCGAGTGGCGGTGTTGCGGGCGCCGGAGTCTGTCCTCGATAAGCACCCCACTCGTCCGCAGGCTTTTGTTCTCGCCTTTGTCGCCGGCGTGAATTGCAGCAGGATTTGCTGTTTGGTGCGTGATCATTCGGGAGCACTGACTGAGGTTAAATCCATTGCGTATCCGCCTTTGTCTCCTGCGTGTTCTTCCGCTGCTGCTGCTGCGGCGGCGGCGGCAGCGGCATCGTCGGCGGTGGCGGCTGCTACTGCTGCTGCTGTTGTTGCTGCATCATCAACTGGTGTTGCCGGAACGCAGTCTCATCCTGGTTCGGGCGCTCCTGCATCTTCATCGGCTTCAACTGCTTTGGAACACAAGATGGGGGAACAAGGAAAGACGAAGCTTTCTCGAATGGTCTCACGTGCCAGGGGCAAGGGGCGGTCTTGAAAGGCGGAGGACGGAAATCTGGCGAAACCGAGTGAGATTTTGTTTTGGGAGTAGAATGTTGTTGAATTTTAATGCATGAATAGAGGAAAAAGGGGGGATATATTCTCAAGTTTTCGGACGTGTAAACAAAAGACATTTCGCACTTGAAAAATCGCTTATTGCTACTCTTGCACAACTTTTTGATCACTATAAATCTTGACACTGTGCAGCGTGATGAGAATTTCCATGAACTTCAATTTTACTCTTGACTATAGAATTGAAAAAAAAGTGAGTTTTTAAAATTAAAACTTGGAAGGACAGTCATGAATTGTGTGGACATGATTTTGCTCATTTCAAGTTTCTAGGGAAATCGTTTTCACTTCCATTTTTTGAGTTTTTCTGTTTATTTCTGCATCAACGGTGTGAATCGGGGGTTTTTTTTAAAGCTAGTTTAAGTAGTTGAAAAAATGAATTTTTGAATTTATTTTTCCAAATCCAGTTTATTTCCTGATGAATCTTCAAGCCTCGATCCCAGTTTCAAATTTGGTTTCAAGTCCCTTTCGGAATTCCCTTTGAAATGATTTATAACAACAAAAAAAAACAAAACACAAAAAAACCTCTTCAAACTGATATCCGATACCTGGTTATTGTTCTACTGACACTGGGAAAATAAAATGTATAATGAGCTTGATGTCGATTTTTTTTTTCAGGTGCCGTCGGAGAAGTGGTGGACATGTGCCTGACAGCGACAGGGTCTTGCGCCGTGGCCCTGGACTCACTGGGCGGCGGCCTGGTCTGCTTGCGCCTGTCGCCCCTGTCCGACCCCGGCGGGCCAGCATCCGTGTCTTGGTGTTCCGCTCTCCTCGAATACTGCATCGTTTCCGGCTGGGACTCGTGGGACGTGGTCATTGGCCTCTGTCGCCCGTCGCTGGCCGAAGCAGTGCTCGAACGTCTCGTCGACTCGTTCGCCCGCCAACCGCCAGTCTACCAAAACGCGTTCCGTCTCCGGTTCCTCGGAGTGCGTCTCACGCTGGAGCGAGTGCTGGCTGCCAATTCCGTGGGTGCGAGTTCCACGCTGTTGCACGGGTCCAGGGCCGTGGCCTGTGCCCTGCACACGATGCTCACGTGTGTGGCGGCCCAGTTTCGGTCCGTGTTGCGGTCGTCGGACGTGCTGGCCACGGACAAGGGCCCGGCCGAGTTGTTGGAGGCCAAGATCGTGCAGACCCCGCTGCAGCCGGACATTCTCAACGTGTGCATGCAGGTGGAGCCCAAGCACTTTTGCGTGGAGGCTGGCACGTTGCAGAGTCTGCATCAGTTGATTCAGTGGGTGTGTGACACGTGCCTCTGGCTGGTGGCCTCGTTTGCACACCAGCAGCAGCAGATGATGGCTGGCAAAGGTGGATCGGCTGCGTCCGGGACCGGGTCCAAGTGTCCAGCGGTGAGAAAATGATTGCTGGCATGATTTCTGAAGGGACTTGATACTGAAGAAAATTAATACTGTACGTGTACAGGTGTATTTGATCCTAATCCATCGCCAGACTAAGGTTGAATTGAGAAGCAGTCAAACTGCACGACACTGTGTAAAATTAAGAAACAGTAGCAAAAAAATAACACGAGAAAAGTGGCCGAAGGAGGTCCAATTGCGAGTCCATCCCCCAGCAAATTTGACTGTCAAATTGTAAGATATCACGTGTACTGTGGGAAGTCCTTGTGGGTGTTTTAAAAAGCAAGCATCAACTGCCTTCTTTTGATGGATGCAGTGCTGCCCAACATGTAGGCCAGAGACTCTTCATCCATTGCACAGTCTCCTGCTTGTAATTTTCAAGGTGACAGCCACAACTATTCAAAATTTATAATGAAATATTTACTGTATTTAAAAATGGAAAAATGTTGCCCCACCCTTCCAAAGCAATCTCTTTATAAAAAATGTTTTATTGCAACTTGTTTTCTTGGCCCTGGCAGTTTCTCCATAAGCGCCATGTTATTAATTATGATAGGACTCAAATTGCATGTTTTAAAAGTTCTTTAAAGTATTAATTGCCCATTCCCCACATAATTTCAGTCTGAACCATGAATCTTTCTACAAAAATATTTTCTTACTCCAGATTTTCCATCTATTCCCTGATGAGTTTTTTGTTGTAATGAGATTTTACTCAATGCTATGCATGTGATTGATTGAATGCAATGCGCATAAATAAATTTTGAAAATTTTCCTTGGAAAGGGGACATTTTTAGAACCTCAAAAATTGTCCGTTATGGCCCACAGGGACACTCCACCTCTGCAATGTGGCCCTTGGTCACAGAAATCGTATTAATGTGGCCAATGCTTGCATCTGAGTTGGGTAGCGCTGTTTTAATGAGTTCGTCTGGTGGAAGTGAAGAATTGGTTGAAGAGTCATTCAAACCCCTACTCTGTAATTTTCGTTTTTTATTTTTTTAATCTGTAATTGAGACATGGGTGTTTTGTCAGATGGAGATCCTGAGTGATAGTCGAGCCGTGTGCACCTTGAGAGAGCTGCTGGTCATGATCAGGCTGTGGGGTTGTGCTAGGCCACAGTGTCTTCCGGTCGTCGTCAAGGCCGTCGAGTCCCTGGACGTCATAGTGCTGCTCTACCGCATCCTGACGCGAATCCTGCTGCATCAGTCGATCGACGCCACGGCCGACGAGTCTCTAGTTGGTGAGAAAGAGTTTCCTTTTTCTACTCGACTTTTTTTTTCAGTATAAATGTTGTTGCTTTATTTTGCAGAGGAATGCATGAATCTCAGCTGTCGGACGCTTGTACCCCCGATTCACCTGGACTTGTCTGCCGAAGGTGTCATCAAGGATCCCTTTTCATTCCACGCTGTGAGTTCAAGTTCTAGCAACCACTCGGGGGGAGAGAACTGTGTCATCTTTTGTCTGGTCACCGGTTGTTTTTACTTTCGGCCATCCCAGTTTCAATTATGTTCATGCTCTGTAATGAGCCTTTTGTGCAAGGCCCAAATCCATGAAGGAGTGTCGAATGTCAGTGTGGACTCTGTTGAGCGTGTTGTCAGGGAAACAGACAGTGTAAGATATCTGCTTTTATAAAAGAGAAGTACTGTTTACTTTGAACAGCCCCAGCCAAAAAAATTGAATCTTCTCCAATATTGAAAGTTTATCCTAGTGGGGTTCAAAGCAAGTTGAATTCTTGAAATTGAAGAGACTTGAGATTTAGATGAGGGTTTATTTTGGCAGAACCCTCAATAACATCCTTGATATGACTCAACGCTGGGTTGAGCAAGATATCGCTTAGGTTTAATCAACTGAAAATTATCTGGCAACAGGCTGAACACCTTGTGCTTCAATTTCTGCTCAGTAATTGCCCTGTGCTGTGATTGTAATGAATTACCGTATTTACTCGAGTACCACGCGCACCTTTTTTTCCCCAAACTTCAGAAGAAAAAAAGGGGTGCGCGTCATAAGCGGGTAAAAAATTTTCAAGACGCTTCAGGAAGTTATGTGTGAGAAATTTGTAGCAAATGTAGCAAGAAAAGTTTTTTTTACTGAAAAAGTTGAAAATTGCTGAGATTTTTGTTCAATTCATGCCTAAAGTCAATTTTTTTTGTTTTTATTTGCAAAATTTTGTGGTTTCAGATTCACTAAAAATTGGGGTGGGCGTCTTACTTGGGGATAAGATTTTAGCAAAATTTCCAAATAGAAAACCCCTCTGCGCGCCTTAGTCAAGGGCATGTGGTACTCAAGTAAAAACGGTATTCTATTTTTATATGCTGGAATGTGTTGAATGTATGTCGATGAATGCTGACAAACAGCAAATAAAGGGTGTGTACATCAATGAATCAATTATCCTTTTGAGATTCCTGTCTCATATCTGTGTGAATACCATAAAAATGTTTCGATTCCCACGGAAGGAAAAAGCAGAACATGACCCGAGTATAGTTGAATACGTCATGATGATTATTTTTTTTCCTCTGTGTAGATGAAACGAGGGCAGACGCCGCGGTCGCTCGTGCAGGACGCCTGCGGTGGCGGCAGCAGCAGCAGCAGCGGCGGCGGCGCGGGCGGGGGCAACAACAGGACATCGGGTTCCTCGTGGACGGACCAACAGCACGGCTCCCAGCTGCAGCGAACCCAGAACCAACAACGCACGGGTTCCATCCGAGACATTGTCCGTCACCAGTACCTGGGCCGGAATCCGGACACGTTTCGGGAATGCACTCGTTGCGGCGGTCGCAGCGCTGCTACTGCTGCAAGCCTCGTCACGAATCAAACCAATAATAGTAATAATAATAATAACAACACTGCCAATGCCCGGGTCACGGCGGCCGCAAAGGCCTGGGACCAGCGTTGGGCCGCGGGTTGCTTTTGTGGCGGCTACTGGGTGCTGCGACGGAAAGGCGGCAGCAGCAGCACTGGAGGAGGAGGAGGAGGAGGAGGAGAAGTGAATAATGCGACTAATCAGCAGCAGCAACAACAACAACATCATCAACAACAAGTACAACAACAACAACAAGTACAACAGCAGCAGCAGATGCAACACCACCAACACCAAGTGCTGCATCCAGGATCAGGAATGGGCCAGCAATCGATACCTGCGGCAGGGTCGGCGATTCCTGGCGGCTCTGGGCCATCCGTCGCCGGCGTGGCTTCTGCAATAATGGCTGCCGGCAATAAACCGCAGATGGTTAAACAGTCCGCCTGACATTTGTGAGATTATAGTTGTGCTGGTTTTTTTTATTTATTATTATTACCTTACGTCTCTTTGGAATATTATGAAATATTCCGAGCGCAAAATCGTTGCGGAAATCTGTGAAAATTCGCGATATAGAACGTATTTTTCCCCGGCGTATGACGTGGAACTAAAATACTGATAAAATTGAAGTTCAATTTGCGTGGAAAAAAAAAATTGGTCGTCCCCATGTGTTGCGATTCCAGAAGCGATTCACGTGATTGTCAGGAATATTTTGCGAGTTTGCCGCGTGTAAACCACCTTTTCTGTGAATGCGACGTGTCAACATTTTCTTCCTGTTTTTTTATTACAGTACCTAAGAAATGGAGTGCGAGTTATTTTTAGATAACGGCGATAACGAAAATTTCCATCATTCAATTTTTGGTCAATTGATTCATATCGTTAGTTGAAAGGGACTTGATCTACGTAACAGGATTTTTTTCTTTTTCAATGCAAAAGCGCTTTTTCGGACTTGATGAGACATTTTGCAAAATGTATGAAGTTTGTTTCCTATACTTTCGCTGATTTTTTGGACACGATGAGGTTTTTTTTTGCGGTCGAGTTTTGTGTTGCGTCCCGTTGGTTGCTAAGCAGCAACGGTGTGTATCGATTTTTACGCGTTCTCCCTTCGAAGAAAAGCAGCGCGCGTGTGTTTTATTTCATTTTGTTCTCTTGTGGACGATGAGGACGTTGTGGTTATTTTTTTCCCCTTTCTCGGTCGTTGTGAAGGAGAAGATTGGGGAAAAGAAATGCGATTTTTCTCGACGCGTGACAGTGTCGATTTATTAATTGAATGATTCTGGTGTCGACGCCATTTCCCGTCTGTCGGCGAGGATCCCATTCTTCCCTTGGTTGTCTTGTGGAAAAACCTGCAGCATCAGCAGTAGTAGTGGTGTTACTAACCCTGTGTGTTGTAGACTCAGTGTTTCCCCCATCCGTGGTCCGCAAAAGTTTTTTTGGCAGTCCGTGGGAAATTTTCAGCATGATAAATTTATCAAAGGTTAACCAGCATGAAGTCAGTTATCTTTACCTAAAATTTTGGAAGGACAATGACGTTTGAAATTATTTGATGAAAATGAAACTTGGCTTTCCTCATCCTAATAAACACTCCAGACTAACGTTCACCAGCTGAAAACATTTATTTTATTTTTATTTTTTTTATTCTGAGAATGCTTTCTTCAAGCCCACTTTTCTAATTTTGTTTATGACATTCAGCTATAGTGTAGCTTCTTCAGTAGTGTTTAACTCAATTTTTGCAAATACCTCACAATTTGACCATCAATGGTCAGGGAGATTGGCCTGCAATGGTGCTTTGGCCACTTTTTTTAAATTTTTTACTTGTACATTATTTTTGAATTTCATGGAGTGTCTTGCAATTTGACCCTAGTTTGGCAACAGATTAGGGTCAAATTGCTAGCTATCACATTTATTATAAACTTTGAAATACCTGCCATAAAGCTTTCCAAGCTGAACTCTTGTGAGTCTGCCAAAAAAATTTAAAACCTTGCTTGTCCGCAGAATTATTTTTTTTTTTTATTTGCCGGTCCGCGAAAAATTTTTTGGAAATTTACTGACCAAAGAAATGAAAAGGTTGGGGACCTCTGTTGTGTAGATGGGGACCAGTAGACGGTGTAGTGGGGCCCATTTGGACGCCGGGTCTCGGCCGAGCCCGGTGTCCCGTTTCCGGGCCGCATGGAGTGCTGTTTCTTCGTCTTCTGCAGAAACCGGGGATCGTGCTAAAAACAGCAGCAGTAGCAGCAATAGTAAAGCTGGGAGGAGGAAGAGGAGCTGGAAGAACGAATCCAGTTGCTGCAGGAGCCATTGCGAAGAAGATGGGGGCAGTGTGATGGACATGTTGCTCACGCTCGCCATGATTTGCGTCCTGGCGACGGTGTTTTTCGAAGGTGCGAGGCATTGGCTGCTGGAGTCGGATGAAACGGCGACGACGACGTCTTCTTCTTCTTCCTCCTTGGAGTACGAGGTTGATGCGTTGAGACACGAGGCCAAGGCGAACAAGACCGGGCGTCGGATCCCGACGGCGACGACGACGACGGCTGCTCGTGAGTCGTCGTCTTATTTGGACTATATATTTACGATTCGATGTAGTTCGGATGACAACAATTAATCGTTCGATTTTAAATTTCAATCGCAGTTTGTAAATGTGAGCTCTGTTGGAACCTCTGTTTTGTTTCTTTTGAAAAAGAAGAAGAAGAGTGTTTTCCCGAACTTTTCAGATTTGGAGAATTATTTGTGAGAACGTTTCTTTGGCGCCTGATTTCGCTCTCAGGAAATTGCAGTTTGAATGAAATCGGTCTCCCTCTGCTAAATCAGCGTTTCCCAGCAAAGAGATTCAACACTGTTGGATCTCGTTTCAACGAAAACCGAGATTGGTAGTTCTGTGAGCATCATGTTGTACCGAAATTTTGTGGGAAACCGTTGGTCTACGATGCATTTATTCAGATATTCTTGCATCAGAAACTGGAATTTGTCCGTAATTGTTGACTGCTTTGTTGATGTGTCAAAAAATTGTATCACCGCCAATAAGTGGATCTACACTCATCCAATGTATATAAAGAAGTGTACGATTTTGGAAAAAGCATGCTTTCCTCAAATGCCATACTGTAAAAACATCTTTTAATATCTGTCTCATCCGGCTATAATAATTTAATTTTAATTTCTCAAGCATGAAACAATTAATTAAATAAAATGGTGTTTTCCAGCATGCGTTTGAATGGAAAAACTGTACGTGTATACATGTATTAATGAGCGCCACTTCTCTATACAGTAGTTGACAAATATAGTACAGTATTAAATGCCACGCGAATGGAATAATTCAATGCATATTTTAATAACCTGCTCCTCTGGAAGTCCCCAAAAATGAAATTTGGAAAACAGTATTGTGCATTTGAGAATTTCTCATCATGCTGGATTACATATTTTCTTCATAAAAAAAAAATATGACGACGACTCAGATTAAGAGGAACGCCGCGTATTTGACAGTGAGACAAGTTTCGATAGTGGGAAGGCCCGATACCACCTACATGTCACTCCTGTATAACACAGTACATTTACAGTACAACAGAAGATTTGAAGTGGCCGGCCCATTGGTGAATTCTCTATATAAGCCCTTCGCGGTCTTGCCTCTCTCACCCCAGTGCTTAATGGCACTGGGCCATTAAGTTGATTGAACAATTTGGAGAGAATCTTTGATGAGAAATCATGCAAGGTTAATAACAGATTATCTTGATCCTCTTGAGACTTTGGGAAACAAGTCTTTTTTAATCATTGTATTTTATTTTTCGAAGATGAATTATAATTCAGTTGAATTCATTTGGCCAAAAATGTGCCGTTTCAGAGTCGAAACGCGTCTGCACCGCGAAAAGCAGCAGCGAGTCTCGTCCTGGAGAATCCTTGGAACAGGGAAGACGAATAATGACGAGGAAGAAGGCGAGAAGACGGAGACTCGTGCGAGAAAGAGACTGGGACGACAATAACGTGGACGACGGTGTCTTTGAAGAAGTCGTGTGGACCGAGTCTGTGCTCAAGTGCTGGGAAGAGTGTCAGAGGCGGACTTATTGTGTCAATTTTGTGGTGCGATTGTCGATTGGCGGCGTCAAAGTCGAGCCGAATGGTCAGGCCCAGTTTTGGTGCTCGCTCGTCAATCACGAACGCTGGCCCGTCGAGGAAACGACCGTCGGTGGTGATGATGATGATGTCCATCAGCAGCAGCAGCAGCAAAACATTGTCTATGTTGATTATGACGATGATAATGATGATCAGCATCATCATCGTGATAACGGCGACAATTATAGGTTTGATGATGGTTTCTCGCTCGTGATTGATCTATGTTGGCATTGTAAATGTTCTTGATTACTTATTGTAGAAAAATAAAAGCACCCTTCGAAGGATGAGGTAACTTAAATTCAAGTTAAACAAAGTATGTCTTATCTTTTCTGGGACTTCAAAAAAATAATCGTCTCAGGATTACCCTGAATAAGACAGCTTCAAGTAAAAATGACACATTTCTCACTGCTTATTTGGATGATAGTTTTCTTCTGAATTCTAACCATTCATCAATGGCATTGAATTTCTCCATTTGCAATTGGAAAAATTACCAAAAAATTGAGCAATGTAAAAGTGTCAAGCTGACTGATGCTGCATGATTGCAGAAAAAAAATTTTAATATATACAAGATTTGGAATTGTGCTTGTACATTTGTCAAATGCGTTGATTGTAAAGAGGTTTATTTTTCAAGTTTCTAGAAATTATGGAATGTTTTTCATCTTTGTGCTGTTTTTTTTTCCTTAGGCCCGTGGAGCAGCGTACAAACTATTGGGTCCAGCGTCAGATGCCATCTTGTGGCTGCAGCTGAAGTTACACTTGGGATTTGGATGTGATGAGATGACTTTTTCTTTTCTCAAGTCTGGCACTGTTGAAGGCTGAGAATTGATGCACAAGGGTCAATAAAATTCATGGGAAATATTTATATCTTTGAGATTTTATAAAAGCTAAATGATGCAGGAGAACTACACCAATTATTTCATTTAAACTTGTGTGCCATGGTAATAGTAATCATGTGAATGCTGGAGGAACCCCAAAATTAAATTTTAGAAAATTGAACCTGCTGAAATATTATAATGATAATCTTACATGGAACTTGCAGAATTCAAGATCAATTGAATCATGTTCAAATGCAACCTTCTAGTACATTTTTCAAGTACACCAGCACAAATTTTCATGAACTCAGAAGTGGGGAGTGTGTGTATTTAGTCAGGGATTCGTTTTTCTCCCCATTTCAGACCTGTTAAATTTGGTGTGCATCTTACCTGAGGGTAAGTGATATACTTACTTGAGTAAAGTGCAGTACATGGACTAACCATCATCATACTATATAGCTTCACATCTATAAGGGGATTTTGAAGGGTCACAAATGAAACTCATTAGCCTAATGATTGAAAGTATTTGATCACTGCACCAGATTACAGGTGGCACCTCACAATTTGAAATTTAATCTTCTGCCAAACTAGGGTTGAATTACATATCTGTCAAATTTGAAACATAAGTGCAAAAATTTAAAAAAAAAAGGAAAAGCAGTTGAAATTGTAGGGCAAGGCTCAAATTGCAAGTAAACCTCTCTGCACATTTGACCATCGAATTGCGGGATGGTCAAATTACAAGGTACCACCTGTATCTGAATGATACTTACTCTCTCTCTCTCTCTCTTCATGGAATGGATCAAGTCAGGTTGCTGGTGATCAGAGTTAAAAAAGACATTTTTATTTTTGTTAACCTCATGCAGGGGACATTGTCCTGTTTGCAACTCCAAAAGCTGCTAAGATTTTGTGCAGAAGAAATGAAACTGAATTCAATCAAACACTCCTTTTCCCCAATCTCAGCACCATTCCAGTGCATGCCAACGGTGTTTTCTTTTTTTTAATGTTGCTCACCGCAAACAACACAATTCAAGGTGGCGTCGGTCGTGTGTACAAACAATACGTCCGCAAACGAGAGAGATGAGAAGGAAAAGAAATTATAATAAAACCAACCAGACGTGTACATTGCAAAAAAACCACGTGAGGTCAAGAGAGGTCAGCAGCATTGATGACGACGACGACAAGTGCAACGCGATCACCAGCATCAAAAGGGACGGAACAACAACAACAACAACGTGATGATTGCAAAAGGGTGCTATCATGTCCATGTGTCTCATTGTCGTTTGTCATCGATCGGCGGTTGAAGTGGCGGCCTTCCGCTTCAAAACGGCGTCCAGCAGCTCCCAGAGTCGCGTCGGCTGGATGTACTCGTTGTCCACGAGGTTGACGAGCAGGTAGGAATTGGCAATGGACTCGATGAGTCGACTGGACTCTGAGTCCCCAGGGTACAACTTGCCCCACTGCTCTGTCCACAGCTCAAAGGCTTCATCCTAATGATATTCAGGCAAGGGGAAAAAAAACAGTGGATTGACGTTGCAGATACAGTAAAATACCATAGCAACAAACTTTTGGGGACTTCATAGAAAGTTTGTCTTTATACTGAATCATATGTTATAATGAGATCTTCAAAATTGATGAGTGGAAACAATTTTAACATCAGACCTGCCTATTATATCAATCAGATCTTGCTTTTCTGGTATTTTCAATTAACTGAGTGATCTTTGTTTTAAAAAAATTACTTCAATCGTGCATTCCATCAATTGTACCAATCTCTTCATTGTTGGAGGATGATGCATGGAAGCATGTTTTTCATTGATTACAACTTCCATTCAATTGTACAATAAGACTCAGTGAGTCACATTTGGGATAAGAAATTTCAGACTGTGCCTGCCTTAGCCAGGAAATTTCTGACTCAAAAACATTTATTATACAGGTGGACTCCTTTTAAAACAATCAATCTTGTCCAAAATAATTTTCTCTGTCCTGTATAATGAATTTATTCTTGGCACAATAGCTGGGTTTTCTCCCTATATGTTATAGGGGTTCTCTGCAACAAAATCCTCTCTACAATGAATGGTTTTCTAGTCCCTTGCATTTTATTGTACAGCAGAGAGTTGACATGTACTGGAATAATTGGGAAATTTGTTATAACAAGATTATTGTTTCAACATGTACTCTGCAGGCTTTCTGCCAGGACTTGTGTAAAATTTGTTACACTAAAATGTTTTGTTTAAACAAAAAATTGTACACAGGTACAAAAAAGTTTAGAAATTCTAGTCAATTGCAAAATTGACTTGGGCTGACAAACCTATTTTTCTTGCTTCAAATATCATGCAAAAATTATACTGTACTTGAAGAATTCTTGAAGGAAAGCAATCATAGATTCAAGATATTATTTATAAAGAAAGAGTGTTGACTTTTTCACTTTCAATAAAAAAGTCTACTGCACTCTATTTATACTGTACATGGAATAATACGTGTATAGTGATGCTGAGAACAGTTGAATCAATTATTAAATAAGTGGTCCTTGATTGATTGATTATTAATTAACCTTCCAGACTTTGAAGCTCCTCGGGTCGACCACCGTGGGCTGCACGATCTCCATGCCCGGGAAGACGCCCCAGGTGACGGCGATGCACCTGTGCTTGTTGATGTTGGTCAAGTTGACGCGGCCCCGCTTGTCGATCACGTGGAAGTTGACGGTGGGGAAGGCCGGCAGGAGGGCCAGCAGGTGGTCCACCACGTCCGGCGCCGTGAAGAACTCCAAGTACGCCTTCTGGTACACGTAGCCGCCCTTGGGGCCCCAGCCGTGGGTCGGGTCCTCACTCGACATCCCGTTCACTGAGGGCTTTTCATTCAAAAATATAATCATCAAGCAAACGTTATTCATTTATTTATGTATTTATTTTATTGGCAAGTGGAAATTATTTTGGCATGACCCCCAGTAAATAAACAGAATATCGAATATCTTCGAGTCAAACTTTTATAAATGTAAGCAGCCAGCAAAAAAAAATCAGTTTGGGGAATGAGCATCATTTTCTTTTTTTAGCAGGAAAAATTAAAGGATAATTCTAGGAAAATGTAATTGGTGATATTCTGGGCCTATGAGCTGACAGAATGCTGAAGTTGAAGGCAAGGGTTCATTTGCCCAAATACAACTTCACCTGATCACCTCCTTTCAGAACATAACAAGTTACATTTTTATTGTTTTCCTCTTTCCTGGGTCAATAAAATATGTAATGGACAAAAAGGCCTCCGGAAAATTTATTTTTGGAGGTTTTGAGGAGGAAAGCAAGTAAGTTGGGGATGAGGTTTTTTGATGCATGGTTTTAGAGAGAATTTGAAGAAATTCATCATGGGAAAGTATGAGTGGCTATTGAGGTTCAACTGCATTTCTGTGTCCTATAACAGCGACATCTACCAACAAAGAAATGCTTAACTGGGATCCATAACCCACAGATGCAACTGTAGAATGAAGGTAGATGTCACTGCCTCTCTGATAATCTTCATTCTAAAGTACTGACAGAGTTCCAAAAAGTTTGAAAAACATCTGACATGCATGTGCAGACCTGTAGATACAGGTGAACCTTGATAACTTGAACCTCCCCAAGTCAAATACCCCCTTAGTTGTGTTTTATTTATGTTCCCATCTGAATCCCCTTAGAAACAATACATTAAAAACCTCCCAATGTCAAAGGCTTTTCCCCTCATACCTCCAGAAGTCACATTTTCTGTGGCCTACTGGCCATTATTTTCTTGACCCAAGATGGAAAAAAAAAGCCATAAAAACATAAATTGATGTGTTTTGAACCAAGTGAATGACTTGATTGGGCAAATGAACCCCTGCCTTGAAATTTCAGCATCCTTTCAACTCATTTAAGAAGCCCCAGAATATAATGATTTACAATTTGGGCAGTTTTTCCAAGTTTCCCAGAAAAAAGGGGCTTTGTTCTGTAGCATAAACGTCCATAAGTCAAAATTGTTTGCTGGTCCCTTGAAATTCAACTGAGAGAGGTATGACTCAATCAAGAATTACAAGAATTATCAAGAATTACAAAATACATTCAATGAGATCAGATCAGGGCTAATCACCTGGGAATTGATGGTGAGAATGCCCTTTCTATTCAGCTCTGCCAGTTTGTCCTTGAGCAGGAATGTCTCTGGCTCAAGTTCCGCGTCAGACCACGGCATAGTTGTCACCTGATGCAGATAAGAATTTGGACAGTTCAAAACCCACATTTGATTCAACACTATTTACATCGACAATAAATAATTTGAAAAAATCTCTCAATATGCATTGTTGTTATTTTATATTACGCACAGTACCTTTACTCCATGTTCGTTTATCTCTCCACTGATGAAACGCTCGAACACACCCCAAACGTCCTTTTCGCAAGTCAGTCGCTCTCCCCACATGCTCAGCAGTTCCTCTTTGGGTGTACTGTTCTGAAAATCAATTCAAGAAATTACAGTAATACCATACACTGAATAAGCAAATACATACACATGCAGTTACACACACTAAAGCCTATAGAAACTCACAGAAATGCTATACTGTACATTCTATTCCTGAATTTAAAATTTTGAAACAATATTGTTCTTGTTTCATATAATGCCTTCCCTTTCCAAAAATTTCATAAATGAATAAGGAGGATGATCCCTGGAAAAATTAGGGATTCCTATACATGATGTCACTTACTCAAACAAATCTTTAAAGGAGACAGCTCTGTTCTTTTGCATGACAAAATATGTGTAGAAATCTTATATATTCTGTATAGCTTGTTGAATAATGTATTGAAATACAGTGCATTTTACCTTCAAATCCTTTCATGCCACTTTCTCTCTCATAAAAAAGACTCAGTGGTCTAAACATTCTGCAAAAAAAAAAATTCATCATGTGTCCAGTAGAAACCAGCAAGTGAACCTTCCTCTCAGAAGAATATCCTTGATTTATTGCTACCTTTGCTTTCAGCAGCACCAGAAAATGTGCTAGTGGGGCAAATGATGGCACTAAATTGAGGTTTGATTGTAATACAGTACAGTACAGTACTGTATTGTAACCCTAAGACAGCATGCAGCAAGCTCTTTTTTCCATCCCACATCAAAGTTGGGACTTTCCCAAACACCGGGACATTTCAGTTTGACCAAAAGTCACCAAAATGCCCTTGGGTTGCAAATAGGCCCAATGTCAGAAACAAAATCTGGCAAGAGTCAATCCTTCAATTTTCAGAAATACAGTCAACCCCTGTCTAACGGACTTGATTTGTGCAAGGGACAAGGAAAAACTGCTTGCAGAGCTGGTCTGTTTGGCGAAAATCCCTTACATGGGAGGTCTGTTAGGCGGGGGGCCACTGTATATACAATTATTAATCCTATGCTATAGGAATAATTCTGCTGGAAGAGGAAACATATTTTACACCCTTTGCCTTGGCTCAAAAATTAAGTTGTCATTTTATTTTCATCATCAGTGCTCATATATATTAATGAGCGCACAATTTTTCAAAAATACGTAATACCCTGACCTTGCCAGCACAATAAGGCAAAAAGGGTTCAGCAGAAAACTATATACTGAATATATTGTATATTGAAAATAATTTCTTTCAGCACTTTGTTATACAGTACAATATAAAGTATACTGTATACCTTGAGATAGAATAGATAATAGTCTTTGAGCTCCCCAAACGCCGGCGACTGGGAATTGCCCCAGCGGCCATTCGGGAACTCGTCCCACTTTTGCGTGCGGTAGACGTAGGACTTGGGCCGCCTGGCCCAGAAAATGGGCCTCACGTCCTCCTTGCACCGCTTCACGTTCGCCGCCGTCTTCCAGGGCAGGCACCGCTGCGGGCCCGAGTCCCACAGCCCGACTTCCTTGAGGATCCGCTCGGACGCCACTTCCCGGTTGAGCGTGTACAAGTGGACGCCCGGCGCCACTCCGGCTCGGAACAGCGTGCGGATCATGTCGACGGCGTGGCGGATGCCGAAGTTGCGAATGGCCTCGTGGTTCCACTTGAGCGGCTCCAGGATGCCCTTGATCTCGTCGGGCACCTGGAGCTTGGACAGCTTGACGATGTGGCGCAGGGAGTCGTAGCTCTGGATGGGCATGACGCCCGGGATGATGGGCACCGTGATGCCCACGCGGCGGCAGTCCGCCTCGAACTGCACAAAGTGCTCGGCCTTGAAGAACAGCTGCGTGATGACTAGATCCGCCCCAGCATCCACCTATCATACATATGTGCACCAAATATAAATATATATGCAGTGAGACCCCGCCCAAGCACATGGAGACACCGTGACATACAAGGACAATTCAACATATAGGGACACATTTATTTTTCAATAAAAAGGGCATAAAAAAAATTTAGTAGATTAAAAAATTAATCTAAAAAACCACGTTTTCAAAAAGCAAAAAATAACCTTAAACATGGTGCGCATGTAGATTGTTGGGAAGAAGTGATGCCTTGAACAACGAACCAAGCTTGAGGAACAAACCTTAAGTTGAGGCGGAAAAATGCGAAAATCCTCGAAATTCGTCCATTTAAAAATTTTTTGAAATAGATAAGATTTTATGCTTCTCTGACGATATATTTTTATAAATAGAAAATATAGCATTTCTGTGAGTTTCTATAGGCTTTAGTGTGGTTGGAAACGAGAGGAAGACTGGAGTGGGGAAAGTCAAAGGGCTTTTATAGTCGTAACATGAAACCCCGACGTAAGTCGGGGGTTTTTTTAATTTAAGAAAAGCGTTGTAAGATGAAACAGACGTAACATGGGCCCGTCGTAAGTCGGGGGCCCACTGTATATGCAGTGAGACCCCGCCCAAGCACATGATGGAGACACCGTGACATATAAGGACAATTCAACATATAGGGACACATTTATTTTTTTATAAAAAGGGCAATAAAAAAGGCCCAACATATGGACACTATGACTCAACATGAGGACATTGCATGATGACATTGCCAATAATTTCACAAAATTTGACTTTTATTTGGCTTGAAAACAAGAAACAGATATTTTCAATTAACCCTAAGATTTCCGCAGGAAAGTTTTGTCATTTCCCCCATCATTTTCCCATACTTCAGCTAATTAAAAAAATAATCAATTGCATAGTGGGACTCATTCCTTCTCGCTCTTTGTGACTTGAATTTTATTTTTGTAGATGCTGGCATTTCAATGTGCAGTACAGAGTTACACTATTCAATGCTCCAACTATGTCCTTATTGAGTTGAGAATATATTCAATATTTTCAAATGACAAACATTTTTTTCTTTCATGGAATTCTGAAGAATATTTCTGTCATAAAACACCGATTAAAAATTATATAATGTAAGTCTATAGGAAAACAAGACTTGACTTAGGGACAATTCAACTTTGGGACACTCTTGATACACCAATATGTCTGCATCTGCAGACACCTTGACCTGCGCAAAATTTGACACAGGGTCACTTATTTTCCCATAAAAAAAAGGCCTAAGGACACTGAGGCAACATCTTGGGACATTTTGTGATAAAATTGCAAATAAGTTTCAGGCCAAATTACAAGAAACTGATACAATATTTCCAACCCTAAAATTGATGTGAGAAAAGTTCTTGGGCATTTCTCTCAGCAATTTAACATTCATTTAGCTAATTTTAAAAAATTACCTTCAGCATAGAGGAACTTCCTTCTCTCTTCTTAAAACACTTGAATGTTTTTTTTTACAAAGAATGCCAACATTTGTATGTACTGTACGGAGTTATCAGTATCCAATTCCCCAAATGTACATATTATGTTGAAATATATTGATTGGATCAGTTTCAATTGGGAGACAATTTTTATTTTCATGGAATTATGGTGAGTATTTTGACACATGAAACACCCATTAAAAATTGTATCATATGAGTTTAAGGGAAAATGAGACTTGACTTAGGGACACTCTTGATGCACCTATTACATCCACATCTTGGGATCTCACGGTATATTGAGCATTTATTAGATTGTTAGGCTGAAGCCACTTTTTTCCTGAGGATTGGTTGGTTTTTATTGCAATACTAAAAATCTGAGAACACTCCAGAAAATTAACATACAGTACAATTAATTATATATGCAGGTCTGATGAGGAAAACAATTTTTCCAGTCATACATTTTTAAAATCTTGACAAATTATTCAGTTCACTAGAAGTTTGTTGCAATAAAATTGTACTGCTGTAGTACTGTGAATACTTTATGAATGGAAAATTTTAATTTTTTTTTTTTGAGTTTCACCAGCATGGGTAATGAATTGTTGCAAGCTGACCTTTTCCTTGAGGTACTCAAGGTCTTTCTCATAGCTCTCAGCTTCTGGGTGTCCACAGGGGTAACCTGCAACCCCAATCACAAAATGGCGTCCAGTGGTTTGGCGAATGAGTTTTACCAGGTCCACAGCATGATGCAGTGCGTCAGGCTGGTCTGGCTCTCCCCCAGGTATTGGATCTACATAAAGTACACACATCAGAATTCGACTTCCTTCGAATAATAAATTGGCAAAAGCAAAACCTCATTAATTTGAGAATGGACTCACCACCCCTGAGGGCCAGGACATTGCGCACACCCAAACGCTTGGCCTTCTCCAAGTATTCACCAATGACCTGAGGTGTTTTCCCCAAACAGGTCATGTGCAACATGGTCTCCAGGCCACAATAGTTCAAGGCTGCATTTGCAATGCCCATGGATGATGTCTCAGTTTCCCCTGCGGGGTTCCCAGCTGGATGCCAGGTCACATCTATGAACAGTGCTCCAGCACTACCCATTCTCTCAAACCTGCAATATTTCAGCAAAGATTCAGCAAACACATTTCTAGGAAACTAAGGTGACAAACAAAACAGGATTTGCAGCATCATGTTCAGACAATGATGACATTTTTTTTGGAATGAGCTCAAATAAAGTCTAAGAAAACCTTATAATGCTACATGTTTTTTTCCAATACTGTACTTACTCTTCTTTTCAAAAAGCTTTGAGCTTTCCAGGAATCACAAAATAAAATTTCCACATTTTCTTTGCATGATGGAATAATCCAAATATATGGCCCATCCTTTAAAACATGGTACAGTAAAAATAATAAATAAAACTCTTGGGGGACTTCACAAAAAGTTTTTTTACAGTACAACAAATACTTTGTCATAACAATATTTTTGAATGTATTGACTGCATGGGAGGGCTTTTTTTTAAATTAACACTGCATTTATATTCAGGATCTTCCTTCTCTGGCCATTTCCGATGTTTCTCCCATGCTTCAAAAACAGTGATCTTCAAAAAAATTCCATGACAAACATTAACCTGCTCAAAAACAGGTGAACACTATCACCTTTTGTGAACTTGAGACGATTTCTGAACAATATCTGCACAGGTTTTTCAGGGTGGCTGTGCCAAAAAAAAGCTTACAGTTGTTGAGCATTAGTAGATCCAGCATTCATTTTCTTTAGCATAATAAACCTTTAAAAGTAGCAATGATGTTTTTAGCCTTGATCTGAAATTTTGGTAAGATAATGACATCTGAAATTATTTGATGAAAATGAAAGCTGGCTTTCTTTGTAATAACACTTCAGACAAAATTTCACCAGCTGAAATAAATCATTTCAATTTTTTCCTTCTGAGAAAACTTTCTAATTTTTTCAAGACATTCCATTACACCTGCTTCATTGGTTATTGGCTTACTTTTTGCAAAAAAGCAGAAACTTTCTTTAATACCTGCCATTCAGTCTTTCAAACTAACCTTTTTTGAGTGTGCAAAAATACCATGAAACTTTGCCAGTCTGCAGAATTTTTTTTTAATTTGCCAGTCTACAAACATTTTCATAGAAATTTGCTGATCCACAAAATTTTTTTCATGGAAATTTACTGGTACAGTAAGTGGAACCAAAAAACACTGCTTCAACTATTGGCTTTTTGTCAGAACTTGCAAAAACGTTTGTTATACTGAAAATTTTGTTGTAATGGTATTTGTGGCTCTATGATATTTTACTGTAAAACATTTGTGCCTCAAGATGTTTGCTAAAAAAAATTGTTGAAAGGAGATTATTAAAACATTGCTCTCACGTTTGAAGAAACTGAACACAAAATGTCCTTATACAACAAAAAATTTGTTACAACGTATATACGCCCTGAGTGGGGAAATTGGTGCACACTGGGGATATGTCTGTAAATCTATACACAGTGACCCTGCTGTGCACTTGAAGTGTACCATAGTTCTTCTGTTGCACATGCGCATATCCTTAATGTGCACCAATTGTGTGTTCACACCAGCAGGATTACTCAGGGTCACATTTGTAAACAAATAAGTTACACCAAATTTACAGTGGGTGCATTTGCGTGATACTCTCATTATGTCACATTTGTGCACCAAATGTAGCCCTGGAATGGTAGCAAAATTTCATCTACAGAGCTGCATGCTTGTGACCCCAGAATAGCCCATGTACACCAATTGTGGCCCCCAGTGTGCACCATTTATTGTGGGGTCAAACAAAAAGGAATATGGTACTTTCCTGTTATCTCAGTACCTCATTCTTAGACCACACTACCATCCAGACAAATTTTTAGGACATTGCTCTCATAATCACAATGACCTACCAGAAACTGTGAATTTTATTTTTCTGCATTCTGCTGAAACTGATTATGGGAGGCGGTTAGGTAAAGTTAGGTTAGGTCAGGTTATGTTAGTTACAAATATCTTTCAATTAACATAACCTGACCTAACCTAACTTTACCTAACTGCCTCCCAAAATCAGTTTCTGCTTTCTTTGGGTTTCTGCTGACCTTCCCTAACCTTCCCTTTGACCAATTTAACCTGACCTAACCGAACATCACCTAACCGCCTCCCAAAATCAGTTTCTGCTTTCTTTGGGTTTCTGCTGAAACTGATTTTGGGAGGCAGTCAGGTAAAGTTAGGTTAGGTCAGGTTAAATTGGTCAGAGGGAAGGCACAGAGATAACAGGAAAGTAGGTACTGAGATAACAGGAAAGTACTGTACCAATATGTCCCCACTTGGGATATACAGTATACTTTTTAATGTGCAGTATATTTACATGGACAAGAGGTTGACAGCCCCGGCCTTGGTCCTGGGCGGGAAGAACTCGAGCGAGAAGAACTTGTCGCCTGCCTTGATCCTCTCGTGGATCTTGTCCCGCAGCGTCATGTAGGCGCCCGGCACGGACACGGCCGCCTCGTCGCCGTCATTGTAGCCGCCTTCCGGCGGCTCCTCGTCCCACTCCACTTCCGAGTCCATGCCAGACTCCGAGTCGGACGCCAAACTCGAACAGAAACTCGAACTGGGTCGCAACGCGTGCTGCTGCTGCTGCTGCTGATGCAACACCTGGCCCTGGCCCTGGCCCACAACGCTGCTCATGAGGACAACCGACGACGGCGAGTCCTCGTTGCCGATGTCTCCTACTGCCGACTCTGGCATCTTTCTTTCTTTCGTTCTTCCCTCTCAGACAGACGGGCTTGTTATATATATATATATATATATATATATATTCTCTTCTTTCCCACGGTTTGTTTTTTTTTCGTGCTATTTCATAATCGACACTCTGCAGCAGGGAAATAAGAGCGAATTTCCTGTCGACCGATCAGCCAATAACAACGATGAGACAGGTGAGATCCCTGATACTGGTGACATTTCATTCAGTCCGTGGCCTTCGACCATCATCGCGTCACTGCTTATTTCGTCATCAATATTCGCACTCCAACAATTGACACGCACAGAAAAAAAAAATCGTAAAAAATTATGCAAAGAAAAGCGGCCTGGATGTGTATAATGAATAAACGAAAGGATCAGTCCAACGACGAAATACACTCATCACTCGGAAAAAAAAAAACGCAACTGGCTGAAACTCGAATAAGAGGGGGTGAGTAAATTCAAGCCCGGTATATAACCGACAGCAGGAAAGGAGGCACAGAAAAAATATATATACACGGTGTGGAAAAGGAAACTTGTCAAAAAAATACACAAATGTTGCAACCCTCTTTCAAGTAACAAAAAATATATATACTGTATTGTTTTTCATTCGCAGGAACCAGAAAACATGGCAGATTAATACCTTTTGTTTCATCATTAAGGAGAAATAAGCAAGAGCCTTTAATGTTTTCTTTAAAAAATAAAAAAAGGAATCAAAAAAGTCCAGTTTGCCATCATATATACTGTACATCATACAAGGGTTAGGGAAACTACCATATTTTGCTGGGAGAAAATAAAACCAATGAAGAATTACAGAAATGTAAAATAAGTGATTCTTTCTGATGAGCCTTAATTAAACCTCTTTTGTAAAAAAAAAAGTTGACCACATATGATACTAAAGTTGAAGGAAGAGGGTTTCATTTTCCTTCCAATTACAGCCACTCCATCATCACTTCATCCTTTTGGAAAACATCCAGGTACAATTTTGTTGCCTTTTGATCTTTCCTGGGTGACCAGCAGAATAATAGCCCAAATAGGCCTCCATGTCTGAATTTGAGTCATAGAAGTTAGAGAGAGGAAGTAATTGAGTTGGGAAACTATAGTCAAGAGTCCAAAATGAATTGTTCTTGCAAAAAAATTGAAAGATAGGTTTTTGACTATAGGAGACATTCAAGTTATTATTCATAAGGCAGTCCAACTGTATTTTAAAATTAAATATTCCACACTTATACATGATGGTTGTCCCAATTGAACACAACCTCTAATATTTTTAGAGCAGGCGTGATTGTAAAAAAAAAAAGGCAGCATATCCCATGATGTTTCTTCAATTTTTCCATTCACACCCACAATTCCCCACCCATGTCACTTATAGCTAAAATTGTGTCAGGCTAGGTAAAAAAAATTTGTTTTGTTTTACCTATTATGTAAAATGCAGAAAAGATAATGGATAAAGCAACACAAAATTTCAATTTCCCAATTTTTGCCAGCCTGAAAAATGTTAGCACCCACTTGAACACTGATGGAGACCTCTTGGCTGTAACTCCTTTCAAAGGTGAGTAGTATTACGTCATTTAACTTTTTAAGAACGTTTTTAGGCGTTTTTTAGGATCTTGGACGACCGGTACAACACTAAAAAAAAAATGTTTGTGCTGATATGAGACTTTTATAGAGAGGTCGCGTCAAACTGGGACAACCCTTTTACACTCTGTGACAATAAGCATATATGCACAGGATCTCGAATATTTAAAAAAAGCACTTATTATAGGGCATGAGAATAATTGTCGCGCACCCTTTATACACCAAGAAAAGGGGGGGGGGAGACATAGAGACAGAGAAAAGAAGGAAGAAAGGAGCAGAGACAGACACGGAAAGGGAGGGAGGGACACATTTCAGACACGTTCACGACAGAAAAGCCGGTTATTGGCTCAACGACGTCCCTTTTTTGCACCGCACTATGCTGTATATGACATAACGTACGTACGCGGACACGCACGCAGTTGTAGGTTGCTGACTGAAGTGTTAAAGGCTTTTCTTTAAGTTTTCTTTGGGGGATGGACAAAAAAAGAAAAGTTACCTTTCTTTCCAAAATGTTCATGTTAAGTACACACGTCGACGGCACTGATGTGTGATGGATTTATTTCCTCTCACATGTTTAAATAGGCATCACATATCCTCATTCTTCCCATAATAACGCTTGAAGCAAATAGAGTAAAATAAAAACTTCAAGATGTGTTCCAGCATTATCAACATTTTCACTTGATTATATATACCACCATTAGTGCCACTTTTTTTAATAATACAGAGGAAGACGGTGTGAGTATGTGAAAACTCAAAAGTGGATGAACATTATATGCACTTTCCAAAAAGTTTCAGAAGTTATTCAGATTTGCTTCATTTTTGATTCTATAATGAGGAACTTTGGACCAGTCTCCAACAAAAAAATTTTGTAATTGGAAAAATGGAAAATTACTTGAATTCAGGCCTAAATTCAAATTTGTGTATTCTTGTTTTTGAAATCTTGCAGTGTTAAATAAAAATGAGGTGAGCATCTTAATTTATGATAATACAACTGTATTAAATTCTTGGCTGAGAAACCCTGATGTGTGTCTTATATTACTTGAGTAAATGCGGTAAATTTATATACAGTCAAACCTCTTCAAGTCAAACTTTAACAGACCATTTAATTAGGGATAGGCATTTTTGTTTGGGGTAAGAAAGAATAATTACAGAATTTTGTGATTGGAGACATTCTGGGCAATCAATTCCTTTTCAACCTTTGGACAGCAGATGGTTATTTTCATTTGCACAGTAAAGTTTCAATATTTTTGGGGGGCACGCATTTCAGTTTGACCCAAGGTCACTGAAATGTAACCAGGTTGGGAAGGCTGGAAAATCTGGGGGGCAAATTTTCTATTGTTTTCAGGAATCTTCCATGCTGATCCTATGCCAGGAA